GCAATTATTTATTTATATTTGTCTTGTACTTGAACTGCCCTTAGCGGGAAGCCACTTACTAATGAAGGGAGATCTGGGGAAGCTTATAAATTTGTATGCATTTCGATCGCATGATAGAATGTGGTAACCTGCTGAAGTAAAATTGTTTATTGAAAACGTTGAATAATGACTTCGAGGTAAACTCGAAAATTATATGGCACCTAAGAGGCTATTTGGGATACAACATACATTTTGTTAATACATTTTAAGAAAATATGTGAAATATTTATTCAGCGCTTCCAGAGATTTGAAGTGATTCATTAGCATTTAAATGCACGATTTTTAGAGTTTCATTGGAAGTATATTCGTTAATCCGTTTGGAGGATGGCAGTAATAAAAAAAATGTCTGCTCTCTAGGGACTACGGAATAAAAGCACACTCCACAAAGACTCTGGAGGTCGATATCCGGCCAATACATAAACAAGGATGCAATGCTTATGGACAGCCGGCTTAAGGTTATGCAAGGAGGCACGAACTATACTTTTATTGGGAAACTCGGTAAAAACCTTCTGGGTATCCAGTCACATAGCAATAAAAAGATACGAAAAGTCGGACGTTCTCGTCCGCTCGGTGGCAGCCAGTAATGCAATTCCTAACTCCGTAGCTGCGCTAGACCAAACACTCTTTAAAGAGTTACTTGAAGTAAAGAAATGAGAGGAACACTTCCGGTCTTGGAATACTAGTAATACAGGTCAAACCACAAAAGTACTTTTGGGGTAATGTTGATGGTGGATAGATCAGCCCAAAAAGCTACAAAAGGGAACTTTGTAACACTGTAGGGATCTTGACAGGTCATCTACTTCTAAGATACCACCTTCAGAAACTTTGTAAAGTTCAATCGCAAAATGCAGAGCGTTCTGCCGCGTACGCAAAAACATTATCTCTGTGCAGATTCTACAGTCGGTTTGGACGGAATATTCCACGGCTTTCAGTGTTTTAATTTAAAAAATATTTGACAGTTAGGATGGAAAAAAAGTTCACGAATTCCAAACGTCGGTGGTGTGAGTTGTCTCATCCTGCAGCAACTCAGTCGTAGACTGTTACCATTTCAGTTGGCTAGCCATGGCACCAAACAGTTCTGTTGTACAACAATGCACCTCCATCGATTAAAATGTAAACGGAAGTGATATAAAGTGCTGATAAAGGAAATTGGACTTTCAGAAATTAACTATGCAAAAAAAATCGATGATTATATCCTTAATAAAAAAATATATACTACGTTCACTTGTGAGCTCAACCGCGTGAAACTGACTACAATTAAGTCCGCGCCACTTCGCGTGTACCACTCACGTTTGCCAACATGTCTGATAATCTTTGCATTCTAAAGCTTAATTCTTATTTGCAAACACACACGCAGCCACTTAAGCAAATGCGCACACTTACACACATATGCGCCTTAAGCACGCGAAAGCGGAAGATAGTCAATTGTTAATAGCTTTCGGATTTTGGCAGCACAAGTGACAGCGCTATCAAGACACACACGTCACCGTGTCACTGCTAGTCACCTATTGTTAGTCACTTGTGCGACGCATTCCAAGCAATTAACCTGTAAAGCTTTCCAGCAGCTTCGAGTCTAGAAAAAAATTTAAAGCGCGAATGGCAAATCAGAAGCGCTAAGCGTTGCTAAGAGGCATAGGTTTTAGATATATTGTAGAAGCAAGAATAAAATATCAGTTTTTCTTTGTAAAATATATAAAATATAGACTTGTAAGCACTTATACAAGTATATATGAAATTAGCAAGTAGCACGCCAATATTAATTTATGGTTGCTGTAGTGTGCTATAATTCGCAGCAAGTCCGCACATTTCTCCACCAACCGCCGTAATTTGATTGATGGCGTCGCAAGAGACACTTGAACTGGCACAGTGTCTGTTTCGGTAGACAGACGCGGTCAAAGTCATTGCGCTTGGCCACGCATTGTTGGTTCATTTCATTGCGCTCTAATATTTGCCTACCCCAATGCGTTTTAATAAATTCAAATTCTCGCCCAGCACCTTCTATGGCATCCATAAGCAAACAAAATAAAACAAAATAGTATAAATTAAATGAAATGTTTAATTGACAGACATTCACGCAACTCACGGCAGTCAAGCCAAGTGCACATTATATTTTGAGAGTATTGTCAGTCGGTGCGAAAAACTCGTGCCTAGGCATAATTACTGCTGCACGCACACACATACTCAACCGTTTATAACAGCAGTAGCTCAGTTTCACTCACTCACAGTGCACACTCAGCTCATAAACTGTTCTAGTGTTTAGGTATGAGTGTTTGTGGCGTCGACGTGTTAAGCTCCATCTAAGCATTTTATCAGCTCACTCATCGCTTGTTCTCATTTATTTATATTTTTGGTCGCAAATTATGACTGAATTCATTTTCTCCCATAATTTTTTCGCTCAACTGCTTGCAGCTCATTCCCTTGCTGTGTTGAAGTGTTCCTTGTTGTGCGCTTTTAGGCGACACGTGCAATATTTACAAACTTATTGCATATTTCTAGGCGCGAGACTAGTAGCGCACTTTTTATTCTTTTGTGTGTCTGCAAGCGTGTGCCCTACAATTGTCGGCACTTTAATTATAGTATATTTGAACATATTATATTTGAAGTATTATTTTATATACATATATATTTTTTAAATCAATAAATAATTTCATAAATATTTAAAGAAACAAGAAAAAACGTTAACTTCATCTGCACCCGGGCTATAATACACTTTACAGTTGCATTTTTTTATAGCATAAAAAAGGTATAAAAAGATATTTTATCTTGATTTTATTCGGTGAGTTTGAATGACAGCTATATGCTATAGCAGTCCGATATCGACAGTTCGGACTAATAAGCAGCTTCTTGAGAAAACAACAATGTCTGCAAAACTTCAGATCGATATCTCAAAACTTGAGTGACTAGTCGCATATATACAGACGGACAGACAGACGATGATTTCTATATATATGATTTATATTTATTATATATATTAAAAGCCCTTTTAAAAAAATATTTTTGGCAGAAAATATGTCAATGAAAATTAATGTTCTAAATTATGATTTATGTTGCAATATATGAATAATTTTTTATGTTAAAACGACGTTCGCGCCATTAAAGGCACTTTACTTCAATGAATTTTCGAATGTTAAATGCAAATATTTAAAATCCCATCTCTTGGACCCACAGGGGTATGTATATCCGTCACTCATTGTTTTCGGTGAATGTCTCTTTCTAGCTCTACAATACTTTAATATCAGAATTCAAAAACAATATTTGAGTTTCATTTCAATAGACTGCATAAGGCTTTATAGGCAACAGGGCGTATGATTAATTAATCGCCAAGATTTGCGTTTCTATGGTCTGGATTTTGCTAATAATAATATATATTTTTTGACAGAATCCATGTAAAGCTTACTCGGTAGTCATATTTTAAATAGAGCAGTCTTCCAATCGCTTTTCATAATGTGAACCAAAAGCCATGCCAAAGCAAGAGCAGCTGGCAGCTATGTATGAATGTATGTATATATATATATCAAATGTATTCTGTATGTATGTATTGCATTGAAAATCGCGATGTTATTGAAATATTTATTTAAAATTGCCTGCCTTTATATTGCCAAAAGGCGGCCTTGAAAATTCAATATCTTTTGAAGAAATCTCATCATTGCGGCAATAATTACTGCCTGAAGTGTGTCTAAAGAGTATTGTTGTTATTGTTCATTTTTTATATGTATGCCTCCTTGTGTGTGTGTAAGTGTATGTGCTCTATAATTTTTGCTCATTTTGTTGTTGGTTTTCTTTGTTGTTTATTTATCATTTTCGTACTTTCTGTTTGCACATCGCAGCACATACAATTTTCCACAATAACACAAACGCTTCCAGAATTTTTGGACTTGTACTCATACAAATCATACGCCAATTAAATCGAATTCGAAGCGCTAAAGCTAGTATCAACGGCTATTTGCGCTGGAATGCTAATTGCAAAATCCAATAAGAATTATGTCAATAAACACGAAATAAATGAGTGATTTCTACAGAAAATTCACTGCTCATGTGTTTAGTCAAAACTAAAACTGTCTATTTGTATTTATACATGCAACTACAAGCAAAGTTAGACATGTATGTAAGAAAGTGTTTAAATAATGCCTCAAGCCACGTAAATACTTGTATGTACAATCTCGCGATTGCGAAGTAAATATTGTCGACTTTGTTGTACTAGCATACACAACAATATTTGTATTTATTCTAGTTTTGTTTAGAGAAAAACTTCAAAATATATTTCTGCAAAACACATAACAGAAAACCGTTCTTGTTACTCAATATATGTTACATCTGCAGAAGTTCTAGAAATTTGATACAGAGTGCATTAGTCCAATGTTTTCAAAAACGACTAATATGAAATCGAGATTTTTTTTTTATACGATGCTTCATTACCTGAACTTCATTTGCATGTCGATCTAAAGCCATCTAACAATCGACTTTGTATTTGTAATCGAACTGACTGCGCGGAAAAGCTTGATCTTACTATAAAATAAAAATAATTAAAATATAATATGTACATACAAGGTGTGTATTGACGCAGTGATAGACAAGCTAAGCAATTATGCACCAATTTTCAAGTGAATGAGTAACATGTTAAATACATCACAGTTGAGACGCTTGGAAATGCTCAAATCAAAAAAAACAAAAACTACAACTCATTTAACACGAAGCAAAAGTGCTGGCGATAATTGCACTATGAAGGTCGATAGAATAATTTACAAAAAAAAGTGATCTAAGAAAATTGAAAATTTCACATATCTTCTGATACACAATTATTTTTTGTATATTTTTTTTTAATGAATCTCAATAGTTTTTAACATAGCATAACATATTTTTTTCAATATCATTTCATTAACCAAGTTTTATTCAAAAAAATATAACTTCCTTCTTATAAGAAAACCCTGTATTAAAATGTGGTATACCCTTTTTACTTACAGGTGCAATATCAGATTAATCTGAAATTCTAAAAGATTACCCACAACCACAAACTTTTGGATCACATACTAATTTTAACAACACATCACTTGTAACTTCGATACACTCAATGCATCCCGCTAACTGCGCTTAATAATTTGTGCTAATAACAAAAAATCTGTGAACACCATTTTCCAAACGAACATGCACATAGCCAGCAGTGAGCTGCAGGAAGAGGAAGAAAAGCTAGAATTACCACTTAAAGAAAAAGAAAATCTTCGAGCTAATATAACAAAAATGATCGCTGATACCCAACCGGAGGTGAACAGCTCGAAGCCCAGTGCGCGCTTCTGCATCTCGCGCAGCCAAGAGGAAGAATCCAAGCCCACACTTTTGGAGGTTGAAACTCCCACGCACTTCGGGCGTACTTCACCACTGCTCTCCACCAATCTACGCAGCTACGATGCCGGCAAAGCTGACGTCTGCGGCGCCACCAATAATACCATACCGCGCACCACAAATCTGCGCTTGAAATTTCGCAAAAGCCACACTTGTGGCAGCCTTTTTGCCAACTGCAATTGCAGCAGTCCACCAGTAATGCCGCCCCCCATACACACAGCCGTCAGCGGTAGCAGCAGCAGCAGTACGTCACAAAATTTGAATACGCAACGCTCCAGTTATGCCGCCGCGCCTTGCATGTTCAATTTTTCGATATCACCCACGAACGCGGACCTCTCCAGTCACAGCGTCTCCACGCAGCACACATCGAGCGGCTTCTATTCGCTCTCCGCGCAAACATCGTCTGCTACATCGGCGCAACTATCGCGCGATGAGAGCATGAATGTCAGCTTCGATTGGTGCGGCAGCCAAGGAGAGGGGCGTTCGAATAGTCTCGACAGCGGTGTTAGTGCTAGCGGTGGACAGTCAGCAACACTGCCGCATCGCAAGCACAGTCCAGTCAGTTTTCGGCTAGCAAGCGTTACGGAGAACGAGCACGCTTCAACAGAGCAAACGCGCACCGCCACAGCGAAGTCATTACAAGTGCCGGGTACTACTACAATTGTAGACACTGCTGTAGTTGCGCCGGTTGTCACAGCACCGATCTCACCGACCACAACGCGTAAAAACGAACGCAAAGCCAAACGGTTCTTTCAGTCCTATTCACATCCAGATACGGATTACATCTTCACCGATGCGAATAAGAAACCGTCGCGTGAGTCACTCATACAGATACATGTGCAACACCAGCAAGAACCGGTCATAAAAACACGTGACGGTAAATTAGAATTTAAACAACCGAAACGTTCGTCCTCACCGAATATCGGGCAATACCAAGTGTTGGACGTGGCTGTGCACCCTGACATCCTTGTAAAAATTTCACCAAAACATTCGCCAGTACCGGGTTCGCACTACCAAACGCAATCAACACAAAGTACACCGCGTTCGGCACAGCAACGTCGTCGCTTATTACAACGATCACACGAAATTGACTCGGGCGGTTCGACATCGGAGTCCGAGAAGAACTTTGAGTCGCCACCGGTAGGCAATGCAACGGACTTAAAATTACAATTCGGCAAGGAAAACACTAGACAAGCGACAGAGAAATTGGCGAGTCCAATCAAATCGAAAGCTCTGGTTGAGGACGCAAGTTTCGATGCAGCGCAGAAATACTTTGCGGAGAGTGGTATTCTAGGACCGATTAACACAGCTAGTCCGCTGATAAGGAAGACTTCAAAAATATTACAGGATACCAATGTACATGAGCAGGTAAGTTCACAGCTCTATGAGAAGCAAGTGCTAATGAAATAAGTATAACTTAACCGAGCTGGGAAAATATAAAAAAATGCTTATTGGAACTTCGAAATTTCAAAACCAATATTTTTTGTATATATTGGTATTCCTGTTTGAGTAAAAAGGTTTAAAACGTAAAACATATATTATTAAGGCATCTAAAAGAGTTTTTTGTACATTTGTGTTTCTTCCTCCATATTTTCTTTCTTGTATGGAGAAATATCCAAAAGCTCAAATTATTGATTAAAATTGTAACCATTCGCAATTAATTGTTCATTACCGCAAAAGTTTTGCAAAAGGCAATAAAAAAATGTATCGTTTTCATTAATATTTATTATTCTCTCTGTCTCACTCACTCACTGCTGAATTACTGAAATGCTGTAATGCTCAATCATTCATAGATTCGTAAAACGTCAATGATATTGCGTGCCAACGGCGGCATTAACAGCAGCAATAACGCAAACAGTAACTACAGCAACACATCAACAACAACGACAGCAGCAGCAGCAACAGCGACGCCAAAGCTACACTCACCATCGTCACCGAAATCGAAAGCACTGCTATTAGGCGCCTCTTTAGCGGTAGTACCCGTGGAGAAACCCAAAATTCACACAATCGATGAGCACAGCTACAGCAAGCATAATAACTGTAATACACAGTATAATGTCTACAGCATGGAGAGGCCCACACCATTAACCTATACCAACAATAACAGCAGCAGCAGCAGCAAGAACACAAACGGCGTGAGTAAACCACAATCCCCGCACACCATGGCGACCACTTGTGGCTTCAGTCCCAACGTGACGACAAAGAGTTGCAACGTCACTGACGATCGCGATGCACAAATCAAGAGTATGCAAGGCGAAATTGTCTCACTGAAAGATGTCATAAAAGCACGCGATGCAGAAATCGCCAAGCTACGCAGGGAAATACACAAATTGAAGGTGAGTGCAGGGGTTTGGACGTAGTAACATAAGAAGAGGGACTCCAAAAGAGTTTAAATAGTATGTCGTTCCAGTGGCTGTACAACTGTGCACATGAAGAAACTGCCTTTTAGGTTAATTTCCACTTGACACTAGCTTATCAACATGCTTTTGCGATTGAGGCAAGTAATTAACTTAGGATATACATATACTTGTATAGTAGTAAAGTCTGTACCTGGCAAAATTCGATCAAACAGAGCTCCCATACAGAGTCAAAGGATTTTGTTCAGGAAGTTTATCGCATAGGTCTTTAAGATGCAAGATCATCTCTTAGTGCATAGAAAAGTGATATAAGGTCCAGCTCACACTTTTTAGTAATACAAACAGAAACATATAGCCAATGCGCCAGTCCATTTATATAATTTTTGCCAGAATCCATTCCACTAAATTTTAAACATTCCCATTTTTCCCGCTACCACAAAAGTTCGATTGAGCATCTTTAAGTACTATTATTGAGATGAAATGTGCCTCAAAAGAGCCATTTCTAATTATGAAAAAGCAATATCTCTCCGGTCATCTCTTAGTATGGCAGTAAAAGTCTGATTCCTGCACTTTAAAGATCAAATAATAATCTTTGAAAACTACCGTAAACCAACACTTTTTGAATTACCTTCTAAGGAATGGAGTGTCTTATTGCAGCAAAATGTGTGCCGCAAACTTTACCTCTCCATCTCTTTCAGCAGTGAGGCATCTCCGTTCAGTTTCACTGCAGCTTTAAATCTTAAATGAGCTAAATTTATTAAAATTAGTAAAGTCTAGACAAGCTAATGTTGTCTAATTACACTTTAAAATAACAACAACAAAATTAAAAGAAACAAATTAGCTTCCACTTGCACAATACAGTCCAACAAGTTTTCCAATCGAAACCAACAATAAGCGGTTTGGACCACACATTTCAATTAATTAATTAAACAAAAAACCAAACAGATCCCAGAATATTATTTACCGTAATGATGATGTGTGCTTCTAATAATTACAAGGGTCACTTACATACAGACATATTCAACTGTCAAAATTTGAATAAGAATATGTTAACAGCTGTTTACTGGCGATTATAAAACAATTTTGTTAAAGTGTTTCCAAAAAGCTCGATAAAAGCAAAAACAATACCAACACAATTAATAAATTATTAGCTCATCAGTACACACATAATAACAACAATAAATAATTGAATCTGTTCAATGCTCATACTTAAGCTTATAGAACTTGTTGTTGTTGCTGCTGCAGCCAGTCACAAGCAGCCAATTGGCTATTAGCGCTGGCACTCGCGGCTTGCTACGCGCTCAGTGCAAACACAATTTTATAACTACTTCAGCAATTACTGCATACTTACATTGTTGTTGTGGTAATATTTTTTTCTTAACTTTTTTGCGTTTATTTTCGACTGATCATCAGCATTGTTAGCATTGCCGACATCGCGCACAGCATGCAAACAAATAAATGCTCATATATTTCACGATTTAGCTGGCGCTAGAGGCTAACGTCTCCCCGGCGAGGCAGCCGCACATTGACTTGTTGGACTCTGATTAAATCGTCGCATTGCTGAAGCGCCTCAGTGCCTCAGTAAATCAGGCACAACTGTTTTTACGCCGATTTCGATCGGTCGTGTGATGTGACTCCGACGTTTTTATACCCTGAACAGGGTATAAATATATATATAAATGATCAGCATGATGAACTGAGTTGATTTAGCCATATCCGTCTGGCTGAAGCTATGGAAAACTCTTTCATTTGACGAGGTATCTTCACGATATTAGGCATAGAATATTATTTAAAGCAATAGTGCAAGCTCCGAAGAAATTGTCCAGATCGGATAACTATAACATATAGCTGCCATATTAACTGAAAGATCGAAGTAAAGTCCTTGTATGGAAAACGCTTTCATTTGACGAGATATCTTTCCGAAATTTGGCATGAGTTATTTTCTAAGGCAATAATATAATCTCCGAAGAAATTGTTTAGATCGGATCACTAGTAGAGACTAGAGTAAAGTGCCTGCTTGGAAAAAAAATTTATTTTTTATTGCCGATTCACCAAATTAGACCTGTGTCAATTTATTGTAAGGAAGCTTTGTATCTGTGTAGGGTATTATAGCTTCGGTGCAATCAAAGTTAACGTTTTAAGCACGTTGACCAATTACGAATAAGGTAGAACACAGAATATAGTGCATGTAAGCCTAATTGGTGGATCATCTCACAGTTTTGGTTGATCAAGTATGTGATAGCTCTTATTGTAACAACTTGTCTGCAACTTCAGCTCTACTTCTGTTCCAAATATTCAGATCTATTACAAATAGTTAAAACAGGAAATAAAAAAACTGCAATAAACTTTATGAGTAATATTCAAATGCGTCGTTATTTTTAGTATTGCAAATATAATAAATTATATAAATAACAAACCCAAACACGCTCATAGAAATCGACCACATCACCATATATAAATATATATATATGCCACACTTCATTTCCATACATATAAGTTATAAACTCTAGGCCAAACATTTACCTCTTAACTCACACCTTTTCTCTAGATAAAAAGTTGCACCCTTAAAATAATCGAATGACTGTTAAGCTCTCTTTACTTATACTCATAGGTTTTGAACGAATTATTAAGACTTTCAATTGTTTCAATTAGTATTGAAAATAAATACAATAAATTCGCACGTTTTGCTCTTGAGTGTTTTCGTAATCGAAAAATGTTAGCTTGGGCTATAGGAATTTGCCAAAACTTAACAAATTGTTTTCAGTGTAAGAAGAACAAAGACATGGTTGAAGACAGTCAAGTTTTAAAAAAGGTACTGTTATTATATATTGTATAAAGAAACTAAAGTTAGCTTTTGTCTTGATAACATTCAACCAATAAACCGGAGATTGTGCAATAACGGCACCTCAATAAAACTAACCCCGTAAGCATCACAGCATTTTATTTAAAGCAGATGGCGTCTTTAAGTCAATATTCCCGTTAACGACATTGCAGTCGGCAGTAAATCATAAAGATATAGCATTATTTAGAAATAAATAAAAAAACTAAAAAAAACCTTCAGGAAAGTATATAACCGACGTGGCATTGAAAATTATAAAATTTAAAATTTAAAGTATGTAAATTTTCTAAAGCGATCTTACAACTTTTGGCAGATTGAAGACAACATGTTAGTATGAGCAGTTTTTTTTAGAAACCGCTCTTGTTCAGTTTGCTTCTCTCAGCGTACTTAGGTTAGATTAGTTTAAAAAGCCCGATCCTGTTACAATTCTCAACAGGAATCTCATTTGGATTGAATCCACTAAATTTTCGTTTCTAAAAATGTTTACTCCATAAAAGCAACTGGTGTTTTTTACGTGGAGGTGTAAATTTTCTACTATCAATCACACTCGAGTATATATTTAGATATATAGCCTCTAGTTTCGATAAGTATATATATATTATATATAATATAAAACCTTTAAATTCATAAAATGAAAATTAATAATTTCAGTATACATAGTTAGTTTTTAGTATGGTTAGGTCCAGTCATTTATGCATATAGGATATAAAAGTTTTCTTCACTGGCTCGTTTCCTTTCCTTTCCAAAAAAAAAGGTTTGTACAATTTTTTGGATCTTCTGACGTTAGCGGCAAAGGATATATTATATATACTCTAATTAGAGCTAGAAATATCTCATGGTAAATAAGTCACACGAGAGCTCATATGGCTGCAATTATAAAGCTTGGATGGAGAGCACAGCTGGTGGCTATGGTGATATGGAAGACAGAATCGGCAACCATACATTGCATATATTTCAGTACGTACTAGCAGTGCTTTATATGTGTATACATATGTGATTGCATCTGCTTCAAGTTAGCAATTTGAATTCTTGTGGCACGCACTCAATTCTTTATCTGGGTTAAAATAATAAACATATTCAGATACAACGTAATTAGTCGCTTGTAATGTAATGTAATGACACATGTACACTTAGTCATACGCATTTACATATTAATATTTATACGCAGCGTTGAGGCGGAAAGACAAATAGCAGGCATGTTTAAGGTGCCGTTAGCTTTGTGGGAGTGTTTTCTTCTTGTTTGCAATTTTACTATTTTGACATATTTCAGCCGCGCTTCATTGCCAGTATTTATTTATTTTTTTTACTTTCTTTCTGATGCTAAAGTTATCACACGGAATTATGTGCGAGTGTAAATTTGGTGACTAATTTTAGAAACTTTATGAGCAATTCTGTAAACAATAAGCGGCATAACTAACTAAATAAAAGCATACTTACGTACATAATTAAGCTTGTATTTGTGATCTGTGTCACCGTTAGACAATATCCAAGTACGCAAAATTCTCTTGTTATGCAAAAATATGCTTTCCAATTACAAATTTTTTGTTACAAATTTTTCGAAAGTTATATCTCGAGTGCAGTAGAAAAATACTAGATATCTTGAAACTACGAAAAATGCCATATAAAATAAAGCAAATATTTTGACAATCAATGCGACGCAAAACCCCTACGATATAGTATAAATTTATTATATTTGCAATTCTTAACACTTTACAACTAACTGCCCACACAAATAAAAGTACGTATGTAATGTATATCTCGCCCTAGGTGCAAATTATCAATGCAAATATGATACGAAATGCACACACAGAAATAAAGTAGGATTTGAAACAGTAAACACCACTGGAGCATTGTGGCGCAGGCCATGCAAAAATTGCAAAGGGAAATGGAAATTCGCTGGCTGACATTTGCACTGACACATTGACACCGCACGCCCCGCCATCGAATAATTTGAATATTGCTTTTGTTGTTATGGCTGTGACTGACGTCAAATGCAGCGCAACAATGTGACGAACACACACATATCTATATTTTCATATATGCCATATGCATAACGTTATGTAATGACAAATTATCCTACATAACACACAAGCCACAGCACTACAAAGCGCCTTTGTGCGACTCATTCATGTGTGTCTTATCATCTGCATTGCTAAGTGCTCAGACTTCACAGCAAGTCACTGATGTCGCCCTTATGATGGCCCGTCGCGCTCATTTCTTTATTTCTGTTCAGCCTCCATTATTTGTAAATTTCTAAATGTGTTATCAGCGCATCAGTTTTGTTTGTGTTTATTTGTCGCTCGTTTAAATGTAAACTATTCAATTTAGATCTTTCGCTGGCCGTCGCGCTGCGTCGGCGACCAAAGCCTAACGATCAGAGAGCGCAGTATCAATTGCCCGAAATATCATTGTATGCATTTTAGTTACTTAAATATTCCATAAATAAAACTTATTCTAATAGAAGCTTGAATTAAATAAAAAACTATTTGAATAAAATTAAAATAATTCAAAAATAAACACAAAATTAGAAATAAGACAATTTTGCTTGCTTAAAACTGCAATTATTCTCTACGGGGGGACAGTTTATCAAAATCAACTTTACTATTGTATAACTGTACCATTTCTTCTCATTCAAACCGTTAGTGAGGTAACCAAGCGGCCAGGAAAATAAAACGCTCAAAAACAATTTTTCTCATAAATCCTAATGATTTTCAGATATTCTCGTTGGAATTTCTATCGTCACTTAAGATATATGAAAAGAGTTTGAATTGGTTTAAGATTACCTTGGTTTAACGTTTCAAGATATAGCATAAGATAGCATTTCGCAGCTGTCAGTAACCTTTACGGAACCATATGATATTCCAATAGCTTTCAAACTGCGATTACTTTTTATTTATACCGGATAGGCGTTTGTAAGGGGTTATACCCATTTACAAGTCAGTAAATTTTTTTTTGTGAAATTTTGCAGTTTTCCATGCAAGAATTTGACAAGTGCAAAATTTCAGATCGATTTCTCAGAAATTGAGGGACTAGTTAGCGTACATACAGACAGACAGACGGACAATCTGATGGACATGGCTAAATCCACTCAGCTCCTCATGCTGATCATTTATGTTTATATAATTGTATATAGGGTCTCTGACGTTTTTTTCCGGGGTACTTCAAACGTCGTGACAAACTTTATATTTCTTCGATCGTTGTCTGACAAATATATAAAAATATAAATAAGAAATTTTCCTCAACAACTCTATTTATTTTAGAATATATATGTACATTTGACATACTTGCAATGAAAAATATAACCTTTTGAAATTCACAAGCATATAAACCCTCAATGCTAATATTCCATCCGTGGCTATTTTTTTTTTAACTTTTCACTTTTTGGAGCTACAAGCTGATCTACTGATCTTTATGACGATGTGGGTTAATATAACTCTGAAATTTTTTATTGACTTCAGCTAAACACGAAATTAAGAAAGTTAACATCAACTTGTTTATATTCAGTAATAAGTTTTGAAGTTTTAGGGTATAATTTACATTTTGGAAAATTCAAAAAAAAAAAAATTAACAAATCTTGTATCACCTTTTCAAAAGCACTACGAATATATGCTTACAAAAATTTCCTGATACGGTAAAACAACATTAAGCACTTAAGCAAACGGTTGCACGTGATCTGCTGAGAGTATTATCATTTGACAGAGCATACCAGGCGCACCATCCGCAGTTTGAGCGCCACTGTGTTAATTCATTTTATTTGCTTTGATCGAATTTCTGATTTAACCAAGTGTTAATTTGTTTTGTCCGTCGTTGTGATTGAAATCATTGAACATTTATGAATGCAAACATATGCACATAGTTACAAATATGCCAATGAGGGCAGTACGTCGATGTAATTGAATTTATAAATATAATTTAAATATTTTGTATACAAGCAGTAAAATCGGATCGCGTCATAAACATTAAAGAACTCTGCTGACATTTTGGTATTATTAACTTTTAACGAGAGCAATCTGTTTTATTGGCATTTCGCTGACATAAGTTCTAATAATTAGAAATTGTATGCCTTTAATTTAACAAATTTAACCTTAATGCTTCTTCATTATGAACCCATCATTTATTTTTTTAAATGACTGAAAAAACAAACTTAAATATGAAATCTGACCTGTTAACTAAAATACTCGTATATTGCATTAAGATTTATTATTATATATATATTTTTTTTTGTTGCAAAATTTAATTACTCGGTCAAAATACTGAAATATGTGTTTGCATATCTAATTAGTCTTTTAATTTCGTTTTTTCCATTGCAGAGCGTTCTCCAGCAAACAGCCAATCCGTTACCCATAGCCATCGCTGATCTGCCGCCATCGCCCACAACACACACGCCTTTGCCCAATAACTTTCTGCTCGCCAGTTCAAATCAAATTTGCACCCTCTGCAAGAAGAACTTTGAAGTGGACGCCAGTTCAAACCCGCGCATAGGACAACTCACGCCGGAAAACAGCAATTCAGTCGAATCGAATAGCAGTGATGCAACTAACGCCGGTAACATCACTGTAACCTGTGCACTGGCCAATAATGCCAACAATGGCGACAATAATCAGCCGGTGGAGATCGCCTTGGATGCGGCTGCCGCACAAACGGCTACCGAGGCGGCGGCCACTGCGCTCCCCAGCAACGGGTTGAAGGCGACGCTGCTGCCAATGGCAACACACCAGCAAGCGCCAGTGCTCAAGAAACAGGGTGTCTCCGGTGAGAGTTGTGAGACGTCGATGCAGCAATCGTTTAATATACCGATACCGAAATTTGAGAAGGATTTCAGGTGTGTACAAAAATGCAAATAAAAGTTTATTCTTAATTTTCGAATGCCATTGCAGCTCCAAGCAACTCATCAAGGACGCCATTATGGATAACGACTTCCTCAAAAACATCGATGCGTCACAAGTGCGCGAGCTGGTGGAATCCATGTATCCTCTCTCCATCAGCAAAGGAGAATTTGTGGTGCGCGAGGGTGAGGTGGGCGCTCATCTATACGTCTCGGCTGAAGGTGAATTTGAAGTGGTCAAAGGTGGCATTGTACTGAGTGTTATGGGACCTGGTAAAGCTTTCGGCGAGCTAGCCATTCTCTACAATTGCACGCGCACAGCATCTATACGCGTCCTATCGGACGCACGCGTCTGGGTGCTCGATCGGCGGGTCTTCCAACAGATCATGATGCGTACTGGCATACAACGCATTGAAAATAGCGTGAACTTCCTGAAGTCGGTGCCGCTTCTAAAGAATCTCAGCATGGAGGTGTTGGCGCAAATCGCCGATGTGCTGGAAGTGGTGAGTTACACTAGCCTACAAAAAATCACTGGAATTAAGAAATACATAATATATATAAAAGGATCTTTGAAATATTTCAATATATTATAAAATATTAAAAATTTCAGTTAGAGAAATCAACTTTGCAGGCAACTCACAATTTCCGTAAATCACATTATCCTCTAGATAGCTTTGAAATCCTAGACATTACTGATAGAAAATTGGTTTGAATTTTTTAGTTTGACTTATGAGAATGTCCTTTCAATTAATTTTAATTAACAAAAAACATTTTGTGTTTGTTTAAATTCCGAATTTTTTTTAAATGTTGGCAGTTTTTGTGGTCCAAGGTTAAATTTTAATAGTAAAATCAAATTAAAAAAGAAAAACTATTGTTTCGGAAAACGCGAAGAGTCTATTCAATCCCTACAGAAGTCATCGAATTAACTTGCAATGCATAAGAAAAATGTGTACATTAAAACAAAGTATTATCAAATCCGAATAATGACTTACCTAAGATATAGCAGCAGAACTGAGTTCTCACACAAGAGACGCAGTAGACAAAAGAATCAGAATGTATCAAAGAAACTTGAACTAATATGGCGTTCTAACAAAAGAATCCGCAATAGTGATGTAATTTAAATTGTTTCGAAAAACATCCTTCAAAACATCTGCGAATTTACATTTTATTTCTATTTGAATAATATTGATTTAATATTGATTTTTTATATGATTTAATCTCCTTCAACAGGAATTCTATCCAGCCGGTACTTACATAATACGTCAAGGCGCCAGCGGTGACACTTTCTTCCTCATCTCCCAAGGTAGCGTTAAGGTTACACAAAAATTAACGCCTACCTCGGAGGAGAAGGAGATCCGTACGCTGGAACGGGGCGATTATTTTGGTGAGCAGGCTCTCATCAATGAGGATAAACGAACAGCGAATATTATCGCTATGGCGCCGGGCGTTGAATGTCTGACGTTGGATCGTGATTCATTCACACAGTTAATTGGTGATTTATGCGAGTTAAAAGAGAAGAACTATGGAGATGAAAATCGTGTGCTGGCCATGAAGTATGCTGAGAAGACGAAGGAGATTTTCGGCGCTAATGTTGAGCAAGGTAATTCGAGTTATGACTTTACTTTGAAACAGGAATGGATCAAGCGGAGTAAGAATAATAATAATTATGCGGTCCACAGTCTAAAGTATTCTTGTGTTTTCTATAAGCATTTGTAAATTTTATTCATCTAAAGTGCTCCAAAAATTGCTATGTGATTCTACAAGTAGAACTGCTAACCTTTAAAGATATCTGTTCAATTTTAGCTGATTTTAGTTATATTAGAAACGCTAGTCACTTTTTGGGCAGCAATCCATTCACTAATTTTTTCAAACGGCTTAACAACTTTCAGTTTTAAACCCTCTCTTTAGAATTCTGGGCATAAGTAGTTCTTCTACAAGAATTCAATATTGTTACACTCTTACAGGAATATTAAAAGCTATAAAATATATCCAATATTGCGAGACTGAATTAGAGTATGGATCCTCAATTAAAAGAAAGCGACAAAGCTATAACGTGAGAAAGCTGAAGATTCGAACAGTATCTCATGTTAACAACTTTCAATTTATTTAGTAGCTAAACCATTAATTCTTCCTTATTCAACCATTTACAGAGTTCCCTGAGATGAAGCTCACCGATTTGGAGGTTGTCGCTACACTCGGCATTGGCGGTTTCGGCCGCGTTGAACTTGTCAAAGCTTATCGCGAGAATAGAGTTGACACATTTGCACTCAAATGCCTCAAAAAGAAGCATATTGTCGATACCAAACAGGAAGAGCATGTCTTCAGTGAACGCACCATTATGCTAACGTGCGATTCACCTTTCATTTGTCGTCTCTATCGCACATTCCGTGATGAAAAGTATGTGTACATGCTGCTCGAAGCATGCATGGGCGGCGAGATTTGGACGATGTTGCGTGATCGTGGCTGTTTCGATGATAACGCGACACAATTCATCATCGGCTGCGTTTTGCAGGCATTCGAGTATTTGCATGCGCGTGGTATTATTTACAGAGATCTCAAGCCAGAGAATCTAATGTTGGACGAGAGAGGTTATGTGAAGTTGGTAAGTGCGGATGTTTTTTAAACAAAAGAGACAAAAATATATAAAAAAAAAATTCCCACAGGTGGACTTTGGTTTTGCAAAATATATTGGCAATAGCAGCAAGACTTGGACATTCTGTGGCACACCGGAGTACGTGGCACCAGAAATTATTCTAAACAAGGGACACGATCGTGCGGTCGACTATTGGGCTTTGGGTATACTCATACATGAGTTGCTCAATGGCACGTAAGTTTACCTAGTCTATTTGGTTGATACAAAGATATATTATGATTCTTCCTTTTATTTTTTTAAACAGTCCTCCCTTCACCGCCACTGATCCCATGAAAACGTATAACATCATTCTGAAAGGTATTGATATGATCGCCTTCCCTAAGCACATGTCCAGATCGGCTGTCCAGCTGATTAAGAAGCTATGTCGTGATGTGCCAGCTGAGCGTTTGGGTTATCAAAAAGGAGGCATACAGAATATTAAAAAACACAAGTGAGTACTAATTTCAAAAACTCAGTGATGATTAGCAAAGATTGCTAGAATTCGGCAGTTTAAGAAACGAGAATATTTGTAATGGAGATATATATTTTAATTAACCAATACCTTTTCGCAATCTTTACTATTTATTTGTCACCTTTATAGATGGTTCCTCGGCTTCGATTGGGACGGTCTCGAGCAGCAACTGCTTATACCGCCATTCGTGCGACCCATCGCTCATCCAACGGACACAACATACTTTGATAAATTCCCCTGTGATCCTGAGGAACCGCTAGACGAATTCTCCGGCTGGGATGCGGATTTCTAAAGCACAGCAAGCGGAGCTTCAAGCTTGCTCAAATTATTCGTATTGATCATTTTCTTTTCGTGAAATTTACTTTCAAGTCTTTTTCATAAAAGCATTTCTTAATCGAATTCGGCTTAATGGAGACCAACAGCGTACTTCGTATAAAATCTTTTCTAATGTATTAGTAGTAGTAAGCACTATACACAGCTAACTTGCGTACATGGTCAAAAATGTAGCAATAAAGCAATAGCTATATTTAGTACACATACATGCACATATGTGTGTCTAAAATATAAAAATTAATATAAACTTTCGTAGCTTTAGTCTTTAACACTACAGTAATAATATTTGCTCAAGTTATTTAGTATGAAAAATTGCAATGAAATTGTGTGCCTTGTTCTATAAGTAAATGAAATTTAATTAATAGCATAGTCTTCAAAGAAATATAACGCTATTTTTAACCACACTCTTTGCAAAATTTTTTAAATAATATATTTCTGTATACTATTGCATTATAAATGTGATTGTTTGTTAGGAGAGTTCAGCTTACAAAGATTACTGGATGCGCCTTGAAACGCAAACAAGTATTTAGCTTAAAAAATAACTTTTGTAATGGATTAGATTTTTAGTTTTAAAAGCTTAGTTTAGGCATCTCAGCACATTAAAAGCATTATGCAAATATATACATACATATATTATATAATGTAGAAATTATAAAAAATTGTATTTACTGGGTTGGAATTGAAAACTGACATCGGCTACCGTGGTTCATATAATCGCCTGCCACTTACCTTTTTGTTAATAAACTTCCAGAAACGTCGAAGCGTAGGCAATCAAATTAAAAAAATCATCTCAGTCCCCCAAAAAACCCGATTGCGCTAGAGGTCTATCCAGACGTTCACTAAAAGACAAGATTCCAATTTCATTATTGTTAAGGAAGATAGTTTATTCTCTAGTTTTTTTTTCATCAAGAACACGTTCTTATACCCCAATAGGTGATATTTCCAAGGTAAGATATATTTCTTCGGGTTTACTCGTTGACGTGTCCTAACGAGATCATTTATTGACCAGCTGTCTTCCAAATATCATAATCTCACTTCGCACGCGAGCCTCTGACTAATCTTACAAAAAAAACCATATTCATAACTAGATCTAACACCAAGTCAGCATGCCTTAGCATAACTTAAAATAAATAACCAGAACATAACCGATACTAAGTCAAAGTATGTTATCTGCATAAAACAATACCTTCAATAGTCTATAAAACCTTGTACACCTATTTGGGGTTGACAAAGTTTACAATTTCGCAATAAACAAGTTTTTTTGAGTGTTATTCCTTAATGATTAAACAAAACTTTAATCAAGAACTTTATTTCCATTTAATTATAAAAGTACGTATCTGCATGGGATTCAAAACTATATTGAATTTGCTCACCGAGTCCTTCTTCTTGGCTGACAATGGCGTGTGTGAGGATTTGTAATATTCTGGTTTGCGCACCTTTGAACCTTCGGGCTGGAATTTGAAGCGGCTCATATCACTCAGACTTAAACTGCCATCCAATGTGGTTTCGCGTATCTCCTCGCCGCCCAGTTGATCGAAAACCGGGCGCAAGTTAAAGCTCACAGAAGCAGACTCAGTTTTGTCCATGATATGCTCCAAACGTAACAGACGTTCTTTTGTGCCGAACGGTTCCAAGGTTAGTAAATGTATATTTTGCGCTAAATTGAAAGCAAAAACTTTAGGCACTTTGACGTTGCTAGCTCTCGAAGCACTGCTGAAGAATTTCCAGAAGGGCAAATGTATTTGTTGCTGCTCGACACGTTCGTAGCGCGATGGTGCATCCTTTACTTTACTCAATACGAGATAAACTTTGCCGCGTGCCACCAGACCCTGACCGAAAGCAGTCTCATTCAAAGCTTCACCAACGCCGAAGGCATCGTCACGCAACAGCCGACGATGCAGCATCAACTCAAGTGCGCCATCCTTCAAACTGCTTCCACCCTGCGCGCGATCATTGAGCAAGGCAATACGTTTCGTTGTATCCTCAATGGCAATGCGTGTTGTGACTGGGTAATAATTACCCGAAACAGCTTCGGTCATATTGGGCTTAAAGTATTCACGTTTGTTACGTTCACGACGCAATATTTCACGACCATTGGAGTCGGTGTAGAAGACACCATTTGATTTGATGCTGCTGTTGAAGCGTGTGATTACCTCCTTGCCGATATTATCATTGATCGGTATGGGGCCGACGAGCCATTCGAACTCGACGCGATTAACGCCTTCGTAAATACGAATCACCTGAGACACCCATTGATTGAAGCGTTGATGTACTTCTTTCACTTGTGTACCCTCATAAATGCTGAAGCTGACTGTATTAGCAATTAGTAACTCAGTGCCATTCGGACGGAAAATATAAGCACCGGAAGAACGATTCTTGAACTCGGCATTATTGCCAGCTGCACCCTTATAGTAGTAGAAGTCCTGGCGTATGTTCTCGGTGACACCATTCATTTCAACCTTATTGAGATGACCGGTGCCGTCGAAGGTCAACTTTACAAGCTGGAGAAAGAGAATAAACAGAGTTAATTTCAAAAAAACACTAAATTTTTAATTTTAAAATATGGTATATGGCAGTGAAAATTAGAAAAACAATGAGTATGCTTTATTTTCATTCCGCACCGTTTTCAGCATTGCTTACAGAATTCTTAACAACGATCTCTGCTCTGGTTTGAATGCCCATTGGATTAGCTCGAAATTCAGACTCTGAAATATTTTCGTCTAACAACCCATTTTGCTCAACTCCTGACTGTTCGTCCACACTTCGTCGATTTATCCTTTTCTTAATATAGTAACTACGCAATTTCTCCACATAAGCCGAGAAAACGAGCTCATGTGTCGCCTGCTTAGAACGAAAACTGAGAGCCTGCACTGCACTAGGAACAGGTGGCAAATCGGATTGGACCACACGACCTTGAAGATAATGTATTTAACTATTACAATTTCATATAATTAATTACGTACCCAAATCACTTACCAGTATCATCGGTCACAATGTAAGCCTCATTCTTTACCGGCACTCGTACATATTGTGTCGAAGGTCGCGCAAGTGGGTTGAATAATGTGACCACCACTTGATTTGCACCATCTTTGGTAAAGTCGCAAACACTAATATTCAATTGCAGACAGCTGACGAATTCACCACTTGTGAGGTTGGTTAGTTTCTGCAGTGCCGAGCGAGCGTTCGTTTGCGCCGACTGAATAGCGGCAGTCAGCAAGCGATCGTAGTCTTGGGCAACATGTTGTTTCTCCGTTCCTGTGATAGCATCATGATGCTGCATCACGCCCATGGCATGGCGAAGCTGGTTCAAATTGTCATCTACGTTGGTGCCGGTAAGGTTCGCGAGCGTGGTGAGTTGTTTCGTTACCTGTAGGAAGTGATTGCCATCGCGTTCGAAACGTTTTTGCGTGGGACGTGAGCTATAATAACCGGTCCAGTAGGTGTGCCAATCAGTGGAGTAGGGAAAGAAGTCCTGCGTTTTAGTAGGCCAAGTGAGTGGCTCCTGATGTATGGCTTTTAGATAGCAAGCGGGTGTGGAGTAAAATAGATTCACTTTCGATCCAACAGACTGACGCGTATTGGCATATCTGTGAAAAGTGGAGAGCTCTGTTATTAAAGAAAGTTCAAGCAAAGTAGGCATGTTTTAGCTAACTTTATCAACTTATCCATATTCTTGAAATTCATTGCCGCATTCTGATAATTGAAGTCATCGCCCATGGGAATGAGTACATGTGAAGAACGATAGCGCGCTGTCACATTTTGTATATATTCAATGAATGTGTCCACCTACAAGTTTGACGACGGTAAGAACTTACTTGTTTAAAAGATTTGCTAGCTGTTATTACCCTTTCTTTTACATTGTTATCATAGCTATCACCATCAATAATGGGCTCATCGGAGCAGAGGGTGTCGAAGCAAAAGCTTGGCGGCGCGGAATAATGATTATACAGCAGACCCGTAAAAAGTTCGGATCTTTCACCCAGATCCGCGCTAGCTTTCCAGATCATCTCAGCTGTCATATTCCTAATACGCTCACTCTTTTCGATCCAATCCATGCGTGCAAAGAATTGACCATCAAACCCCATTTGTGCGAATAGTGATGCCATTTCACGCGAGTGACCGAAAGGATCGATTTGCCAGCCGACATGAGGACGTCCGCAAGTGCCGAAAAGTTCCTGAAGTACTCTGTGAGCGAGAACAAAAATTGCTGCATACAGTTTAGATATTGAGCATGTATGAACTTACTTTAAGCCAATGGTGAACTGATCCACCACCGACTGATAATGCACCGCCGCCTCGTCGTTCATTGACCAAGCACCGCCCGCGAACTCCAAGCGACCACCATTCACCAGTGTCTTTACCTTCGATTTTATATCGGCGCTCTGTTCATTGTACCATTTAAAGAAGAATGCTGATTCAACGTAAATAAAGCTGCGGAAGAATAATTGAAATGTATTCGAAGAAAATATTTTTTTTTTGTTTATTGGAAATTACCGCCGTTTGGAGTCCTTTAATAGTTCCTGCACAACATTGTATAGTATGTACTGCACGCCCGCTCGTTGTATGCTATTACGTGACCCATAGTAGTACTGATCAACAGTTTTTAACCAGCCTACATCGTCGTGGGAATGTGGAACCAAATGTACGTTGATCATATTTGATTTTCCCGCTGGACAGTTCTGTGAATAGTTGAAGAGATTTGTTAGTGTTAACTGAACTTATAAGCGGCTTAAGGCAAGAAAGCTCATAAATATATGATTTTCAGCAGCAAATACGGAAATATTTTGAACTTAAGTAGCTATGGTGAGCGCCTTGCTTTGATTAACTAGCACGCAACATATTTTTTAAGACGACTAATGTGGAAGACTCGGTTTGGAAGTGCCCTCTTAAAAGCAAAATCTGACATAACCGAAGATTATCAAATTTAAAAGCTATCAAATTTGACAGGTTGGTACTTGTTATGGATTGGACACTTGAGATAAAGGTGTAAACGAATCTATTAGACAATAAGCCCTTTTTCCATCACAAAATAAGCTGAAATCTTTTCAATTTTTAAACGTATGCAATTTTCCAAATCCTGTTGCACTAAGATTCTTAAGGTTACTCATGAAATACTTAGCGGAGCTTTTTTATCGATGAGTGAGATCGAATTTACGACATCATTGGAAGTTAATGAATATTCTTGACAAACGTCGTACTACTTGAGGTCTAATCGCAAGCTTGAAAATTCATAACGAGGTTCACCACTCTAAGAACCCCACTTCAAGCCTGTCAACTCACCAAAAAGTTAGAATGTACAAGCTGGTTTCAACAAAAATAGATAAAAGTAAGTCATTACTTCTGTTTTCAAAATTATTTTCATGGAAATAAAATTATTGCTTAAACACGGCAGTGATTCTAAGCAGAGTTTTTCTACCACAATATCGCAAGCCTTGCTTGTGCTTCACTCTCATTTCTTCTTACTCAAAATATAGTATCCAAATACATAGTATCAATAACCCACCGCGTAGCCGCATGCAGCTTGGACTAGCTGCTCTTGCAAGACCACAGCGAACACCACAAAAATTGTGGCTAAACCACAAGCCAACCGCATTTCACTTGCGTAATTTACAACTTTTTACGCGTAACAATAATTTATAACTTTTAATAACACACTGAACCGCCAAACTTATGACACCAAAACACTCAGAAATACTGCTGCTCGGCATCAACGCTAGAAACCTTTTTATACACAATATGTAATCTTAAATAAAAACTAAAAGCAATTTGCCATATCGCTAAAGTCCAATAGAAAAAAGTTAACCATAAAATTGATTGATAAGAAAGCAAATGAGTAATTCTGGAGTCAAGTGAACAGTGACTCTTTTCAAATGAGTGAAGTGTTGAGAACAGGTGCGTCAATAAGAATTCGAGCTCGTTATTTACATTAAGGAGTTTAAAGCTGTGTCGAACGTAAGTTGAGTACAAATTTTGCTACGTTTGAGTGTCTACAGAGAATGAAAGATCTAACCAATAATTTTTACATTTATATCTCATGAACGAGGAATAATGAGCTCGTCGCGAAGACTATCGATTACAGAAGCGAACTTTTTAAATATTTTGATTTTTCTAAATCTCCATCAGCTAAGCAATAAATTGTAAAAAAATTAATGTTAAAAAATATAATTTTTTAATTATATATATGTGATTTATTTTATGTGCTATAACATGGTTTTAATTTGTGTCTGGTAAAATAACCATTTGAAGGTTTGCTATTAAATTTTGGGCGTTATAAATAAGAAAAAGAAAATCGTTTGTTCGTGTTATACCTAATTTTTAACAATTATTGCAATATCATGTCAGATCCCATCGCCCAAGGCATCTAGTAGCTCAATAAATGACAGACAACAATATACAGATAGTGGAGAATACTTACAACTAGCACTTCAAGATTGCAATTCAGATCAGTTGACAACCAAAAATGAGTTATCGACTACCACGGCTGCTATAAAATTTTAAAATAATATAATATGTGTCAACTTTTGCTTGAAATCCTATGTGAACATAATGCATGAAAAGTTAAACTTTTTCGTCCAAATTTAAAACTGTAAATCTCAGAAGAGCACTACCATATACATTCTTTTGATATGTAAGTGCTCTAAATACATGAGAAATTACGACCGACTGCTTAGAATATTAATATCTAACCAAATGAATGACGCTGAATGGGCTCGTTTACGCGTGGGCTTAATTAAAGACCATTTAAGCTCAGACATTCATACATACAAACATGTTCTGAATAAAAAAAATCTGAAAAGAAATACAAAATAATAAATTATGGTTCTATGACTTTTTGTTTATAAACAACAATACAGTACTTACTGCAAACCAAGTGAGGAAGATTTCCAATTGTGTATAGCTTTCCTCGCAACTATCCGATGTCAACAATTAGCAGAAATTATTTAAGTTTCTACAAAAAATAAACAGTGTTAAATAGCTATGTATGTACCTACATATCTACAAAATCTGTTTTGAGTATGAATGAGTAAGTGAGCGAATACACTGATGACCGCAAATTATAGCAAGTAAGGACGTCACGGCTTTTAGTTGGAACTTCGAATTATAACTATTTTATACCATTTTAGTTATCTTTCACTTTTATAGCTCTACTAGAACTTATTTTTTATCACGATTATTTATATATTAGGTCAAACGGAAAGAAATCCAATATTTTTTCCATAGATGGCTTTAGTAATCTGTGCTCCGCGTTTATTGTATAACCGCAATTTGCTTTCGCGATACGGCATTAAGATACAACTGCGTACTAAAATTTTTAGACAAATTTGTGATTGCTTGATTTAAACACGGCGCAAAGATGGACACAAGCAAAGCGAAAATACACTATAAAATCAAAATTTTCTTCGATAAAGGTGAAAACGCAAGCCAAACGACTGAAAATATAAATGGAGTTTATGGTCCTGACACTATACATGCTCAATTTTGTCGATTCGTTTCGGTAATTTTGATGTCAGAGAAGCACAACGCTCTGAAGGACCAGTTAACTACAATATCGAAGAAATAATGAAAATCGTAGAGCCGATCGATTGCACATAAGCTAATCATGGCTCAATAGACCGATTGGTACCATTTATATAAGGCTGAATATAAAATCAAACTCGATAACATAAAAGGTTATGCAAAAAAGTTCATCGATTTACTGTCAGGAGTGGTTTGATTGGATTGACAGGAAATACTACTATCTATTATATCAATGATTACCCCACAGCCAAACTATTAATTTGTACATGTACTGTCAATAATTGTACCGTCTGAAATAAGTGGGATGTTTTTTGCTTCCACCTTATAGTTAAGAGCTGGCATCAAGTCAATACCGGTTCTTGTCAACAACGAAGGATTTTGCTGGTAAAAAATTCGCCTTAGAAGAAACTGTTAAAATGGACTGTCCCAGATTTTTGTTAATAAGACGCTTTTGCCCTCAAATTGCCAACAAGTTATTGAACAAATTCGTGTATATTTGACTCATATTGGCTAATTCTATTAATGGTACATTTAACGTTCATTTTAATGCAAATAAATATAATGTATTTCTTTTTAGTAGACATTATATATACTTGATAGGGGTACTGAGGAGTAAACTAAACCAGTAAAACTTTCAATTAGAGAGCTTTAAACACTCCTTTTTTAAGTACAAATCCACTACATATTCATCCATCACTAAAATCTCAGTTTGAAATGAGTTCATACATATATGACCAGCTCAGTTTCCTATATTCTAACTCAATCACTCAAATCGTCTTTGAGCGGTTCTCCAAGTCCAGCTCTGGCTACCGGCTATTTATGCAAATGAAAACGCGTTTAGCGGCTTAGTGTGCGACCGCGATTTCTCGAGTGCGCTTAAGAACGGTTTGTAGATTCGATAGTAGAAATCAAATTAATTCAGGCACAACAAGTGCGCACAAACAATAACAAAAAAAAACATAATAATAATCAATTTTATCAGCGGCTTAAGTGAACTTTCATTGTTCAACTTTTCGTTTTATTTTGTGAGATTTCCAGTTCTTTTTTATTGACAGTGTGTTGTGTGCGTGTGTGTACGCGTTTTAGAAGACATAAATTCTATGTGCTTGCCATTAGGTTGGTGAACAAAATGCATTCAACTGCAAGTAGCTGCCCATTCGGCAATACCCTGAAATTGTTTATGATTTTCTTTTTATGTGCGCTGCATAACAACTTAGGCGAAGCGCGTCCGCAAAGTGCAGAACAGGAAAAAATAGCGGTCGTAAAGAAATGCGGTTATGAGGTGAGTGATAAGAAAGTGCGATGAATACATATAATATGTTGGTTTATATATATTATATACATATTACATGTAATCACAGATACTATAAATAATATACTACAAGCTTGTTTAAAATAATATACAAAATCATTTAAGTTTAGCTATTGACAAGATCTTTTACTTCGAAACATGGAATTCCATTACAAATAAATATAAAGTATTTAAAAAATTTATTTACTTTTAATTTTTTCTTTGTTTGCTTACATCGACACCCACTTATTTACGACGTCTAAATATTTACCTACACGAACAAGAACAACTACGAAAAAAAATGTATAGATAAACATAAAAATAGGACTAGATGCCAACTTGCATAGAGTATACATCCAATGACCTCGAAAAAGTGTTTTTCAATATTTGATTCGAGATTATAGTTGTGTTTATATATGTAGTATAAGACACAAAATACTCTCTGTACACTCGGCAAGAAAACCAGAAACACTTAGCCTAAAACACATTCTGATAAGAAAGGTTTTTAAAAAATCCTACCCAAAACATAGTTACGATTATTTCATTAATGAGACCTTTCCTAACGTATAACCCCCACAAAATGCTCAAACATCCATTAATACATTTAAAGTACTTTCTATTCTTCTTCTGGGCATATGAAAGCTTTTCTTATAACATTTTTCGAAAGTTTTACATAAGTCTTATACGATAGGATTTTAAATTTTCCATTTTCACTTTAGCGAAGGTTATGGACATGAGCAGTGTCAAAATGACTGTGATAATGATTACATATGCAAATTAATTTCACGGAATTATCATATAAGGTCAATTGAGGTTCGAACAAATGGTACTTTTCTACATGTACATAACTTCCATGTATACTATTCTACCTACATAAGGGTTCGTAAAAAAATTATTTTTGTCTTAAATAAAGGTTTTATTTAGCATAGTTGGAAAGATCAGATTAAGGTGAATTATGCACTGTTTTGTTCGCTGACTTGTTGGCATTTTGAAGTAAATTAATACTCCCACTCTCAAAGAACCCCTCGTCTCTTGGTAAAACGACAAAACACTGGTACAGTCGATTTTCACAAGCTTTTCTTAAGGCTAATTTTTCACTAGCAAACTCATTTACCATAGACGGAAAAAGGTAGTAATCACTCGATTCTAGGTGCGAAGTATACAGTGGAAGTATAAGCTCACATAACCTCAGACGAGTCACAATGGATGTGTGTGGCCTGACGTTGTGCGGATAGCACACAATTCCTCTCCCATTGGCCAAAGCTAGCCGCTTCTGAGCGATTGACACCTTCAAACGATCCGATTGTTTACAGTACAGATCCGAATGAAAGTTCGGACTTAGAATTTTTAGTACGAAATCTTACTTTTCTAAAGACAAATAGCGTAACCAGATCGCTCTTATACAACGGGAGATACAGATTAGTAAAGTTATTTATTAGAAAATTAATGAATTTTTTTACTGACTTTATGCTTAGTTAATACAGTCTTTGTACTGATCATCACATATGTATCAAACAAATTTATAGCGGGACCAATAATAATATAATATATAAAGAAAATTAACGTCAAAGAGATTATTGACCACATAAGCTTTTTAACTTCATAAACACAAACCACATTCCAAGTCCGATCTGAAAGTGTGAAGCTTCCGAAATTAATTTAAGAGTAATAATAAAATAATTAGATAGATATTTAAATCAATACTCAATTAATATTTTGATATATAAGTAATTCCAATTGTATCAATAAACTTTCTTTCAAAATTCAACGACGCAGAGCTGCCCCAAAACCAAACCCAATATGTTGAATGTTCATCTTGTGCCACATACCCACGATGATGTGGGTTGGCTTAAGACCGTCGATCAATATTATTATGGCAGTAAAACACTTATACAAAAAGCCGGCGTGCAATATATTTTGGACTCGGTAGTGCAGGAACTGCTACGGGATCCCGAAAAGCGTTTCATCTATGTTGAATCGGCATTCTTCTTCAAATGGTGGCGCGAACAAGAACCCGAACTGCAGGAGCAAGTGAAAATGCTGGTGAATGAGGGTCGCCTAGAGTTTATCGGTGGCGCCTGGAGTATGAATGATGAGGCGACAGCGCATTATCAGAGTATTGTCGATCAATTTACCTGGGGTTTGCGGTAGGCGTGCCTTAAAAATGTTACCAATTAAATATTCAATTCCAATTTGGTTATTTTAGGCGTCTTAATGACACCTTTGGTGAGTGTGCGCGACCACGCATCGGCTGGCAGATCGATCCGTTTGGGCATTCACGTGAAATGGCTTCAATGTTTGCGCAAATGGGTTTCGATGGTCTCTTCTTCGGACGTCTCGATTATCAGGACAAAATGGAGCGTTTGACAACCAAAACAGCGGAGATGATATGGCGCGCTTCGGCTAACTTGGGTGGGTTTCTTGTGCTATCAATATAATTTTTTTTCTCAAAAAAAAAATTTATCTTCGAAAAGTAAAAGCACAAATTATTGTTTATCTTTGATAATGTTTAATTTATTTTTTAGACGATTCCTCTAATCTGTTCACTGGTGCCTTATATAACCAATATCAACCACCACCCGGCTTTTGTTTCGACATCCTCTGCGCTGATGAACCGATAATCGACGCCAAGCACAGTCCAGATAATAATGTTAAGCGCCGCGTAAGTTAATCATTATTTTAATTTGTAATCACAAGTACTTCAAAGCTATGCAATTAAGCATGTAATCTAAATTCGGATACGTACTTTAGGTGAATGATATTTTGAAATTCATTGATGAACAAGCACAATTCTATCGCACTAACAACATAATCATAACGATGGGAGGCGATTTTACTTATCAAGATGCTAATGTCTATTTCAAAAATTTGGATAAACTGATAAGGTTTGGGAAATATTAAGAAATATTATATATACGAAATAACAAAGGCTAAAAGTTGATGAAAAGGCTGCTTGACAAAATTTTGTTTAAATCTTTTCGTAACTAAATCGTGTCATTACAAAAGCTTTGGAAACTGCAGAAATTTTTCAGTCTCTTCAACCAAGGCGTGTCTCACATAGCATACAGTAGTATCCTCAATTTCGCGTGCTAACTTTTCGATTAATATACCCATGCTCTTGGAGGCCATCTTAAGCTTTGAGTTTCTCTCATTATATCATATATTTTAGGTCGATGAATTCATCGCAATTTCACGCAATATGTCCAAGGGCTATCGCACCGATAATATACTCGTTACAATGGGTGAAGATTTTCACTATCAAGATGCGAATGTCTGGTTCAAGAACCTCGATAAGTTGATCAAGTGAGTAGAAACCAGCTTAAGGCGAAATTTTCAGCAACCTTCATCAACTTTGGCAACATTTATCAAACTCTAAAAAGTATTCATTCTTACAAAATAGCTGAAGAAAATGTCTGACATACTCCTTCTATTTCTGCACAGATACACAAATGAACGGCAAGTAAATGGTTCCAATGTAAATCTTCTCTATTCAACACCCTCCTGTTATCTGAAGTCTCTGCACGATGCCGGTATAAGCTGGCCAACAAAAGATGATGATTTCTTCCCATACGCCTCAGATCCTCACGCCTATTGGACGGGTTACTTCACCTCTCGTCCCACCCTAAAACGTTACGAACGCGTTGGCAATCACTTTCTTCAAGTTTGTAAGCAGCTTACCGCCATGGCGCCAAATACCGCTGGCCAATTTAATCCACATCTCTCATTCATGCGTGAAGCAATGGGTGTCATGCAACACCACGATGCAGTTACCGGCACCGAAAAGCAAGCTGTTGCTGCCGACTATGCGCGCCATCTGGAAGTAGCAATACGCGCTTGCGCAACTAACACAAAGGAAGTCTTAAATCAGCTGACTGTGGACACAGCGTTTTCCGAAAGTGCTACAGAGTCTGGAACACGACAACGCCGATGGGCTACTGGTCCGAAAAAGGAATATACGTTCACATTTGAAACGTGCACACTACTCAACATCAGCTCGTGTGCAGTACCCGAGCAGGCTGACAAATTTGTTTTGACTCTGTACAATCCATTGGCTCAAACGGTTTCTGATTTCGTGCGTATACCGGTACCGGACGTGGATTATGAGGTTAAAGATTTCGATGGTAAATATAAATTAATACAACTAGCGTACCTTAAATGCGTAGTTTTACATTTATTTCTCAGACGTGACAATGGAGACGCAGTTCTTGCCCATCCCTGCACCAGTTCAAGATCTCAATTTCCGAAAATCTGGCGCACTTTATGAACTTGTTTTTCTTGCAAGCTCACTGCCACCACTGGGATATAAATCTTATTATATAACAAAAACAAATGGTAATCGTATGAAACCTGTGCCAGATCCTGTAAACAAGTCGAGTTTCACAAGCATAGGAAATGAGGTAAGCTAGAGCTATAATATATTTGTGTAGAAGACTCACCGTTTTCAATACTCCGCATTTTAGTATATCCGACTCAACTTCGACACAAACGGATTTCTAGTAACTGTCACAGCTGACAGCATGACACGCATAGTCAATCAAGAATTTGTGTATTACGAAGCCGCCATAGGCAACAATCGCGAATTCCGTAATCGCTCTTCGGGCGCATATATTTTCCGTCCCGCCCACGATCAAGTCCGTTCGATTTCACTACAACCGAAACTCAAAATCTACCGTGGTAATCTAGTGGAGGAGGTGCATCAGTCATTCAATGAGTGGGTAAGTCAAGTGGTACGTGTCTATCGACAACAGCACCATGCCGAATTTGAATGGCTCGTTGGGCCAATTCCAGTGGACGATGGAAAAGGCAAAGAGATTGTTAGTCGCTTTAACTCGGATATAGATTCAGCTGGTATCTTCTACACTGATTCTAACGGTCGTGAAATGCTTAAGCGTAAGCGAGATCATCGTGATACCTGGAAGGTGAAATTATTGGAGCACACCGCTGGCAACTATTATCCCATCACCACGAAGATTGCTTTGGAGGATGATAATGCACGCATGGCCATACTAACGGATCGCGCACAAGGTGGCAGCTCTATGGGTGCTGGCTCTTTGGAATTGATGGTTCATCGACGTTTACTGCATGACGATGCCTTTGGTGTTGACGAGGCCTTGAATGAAACCGCATACGGAGAGGGTTTAATAGCGCGCGGAATACACTATTTAATTGTGGGTTCATCAAAGAAACAGCAAAGTCCAACAACACAGGCAATTGAACGTTTCACGCAGTTGCGCAAATTATTACCAGCCTGGAGTTTCTTTAGTGATGCTGAGAAAATAGATTATGCTGATTGGCGTGAGAATTTCACTAACATTGTGAGTTGATCTAACTTAACCTTCAGTTTAGTAAATAAACATATTAAAATAAAATATTAAAATTATAGTTCACCGGCATAGAATTGGAGCTACCGAAAAATATCCACCTTATGAGCTTCGAACCGTGGCACGAGAACGAAGTGCTCGTACGCTTCGAACACATACTTGAAAAAGATGAAGATCCCGAATATTCAAAGGCCGTACAGTTTAATGTACAAAGCGTATTGTCGAGTTTAAAAATCGCTGATATTCGTGAAACTACGCTTGCAGCAAATGCTTGGCTGGGCGATAACCAACGCATGGAATTCGTACCAGATGAGCCGGAGGTAGGCTACAATTCTTATGGTATTTACCAAAGGTCACTGCAGCAACAACTTTTGTTGAGAGCCGACAGACCACTACTGGATGCCAAATACTACGACCCAGCGAAAAATTCTAAACGAGAAGAAGACGATGAACAGCTGGCATTGCAAACGAACCGTCTAAAACGGGATTACGAGGAGTCACAGGAACTGAATCACGTGCGTGCAGAAAAGCTGCGTAAGCTGAAGGTGCAAAGGCAGACTTTAACGAAGGAGTATACGGACGGCGACGATCGTTTCGTCATAGAACTAAGTCCAATGCAAATGCGCACATACATACTCACCTTGCAGAAAGACAACTGAAGCAAAATAAACAACGCACATGAATATAGTGATTTTTGCAGTAAATATTTTGATTATATGCTTATGTAGTTCTACATAAAAGACCCAAATCCAAGAAATTTGATATAAAGTAGAGATTTTTTGTTGCAGTATGATATAATAGATTTGAGATTGAGGCAGTTGCAGGTACTCCAAATAAATGGATATATAATATATATGCAAAAGCTGAGATCGCCTTTTAATTTAAAATTTATACGCCATAATCAATGTTAGACTGAGATTGATTTTCACGTAAACCCCTCTGTTCGGTAATCTTGAATTGCAGCAGTACAACCAAATAGGTGGCCATAAAGGTAAGGTTCTAAAATGAAAAAATAGCTAATCACATATAGAAATATTTCACATCGAAACATCATTCACTCTCCACTCACCGATGAAAACAGTTCCCGATTAATATTTGCGTAATCATCCAAGTTCATTATTGGCGGTGTCTTTGAAATCGCAAGCAGAAACATTTGCACCTCTCGCTGCGAGGCCGTATCCAAAGCAATTAAATTGACATTAAGTAATTTCGTTTGAAAATCCAAGCCCACTTTGCGTGACGCTTGATGTGCCTCATTGCATATTATATACAACAGGCTCATGCAATAGAACATAATTACGAACAGTCCGATCTCCTTGTATGTTGCACCATGATCCATGATCTCACTTATAGAACCATAAGCAGCCGTGAGGGTTGTGAAGAAAACGACGAGGCAATACATGCCGTACATGTTGGAGTATGCTTTACCTAGAGGCAGGAGAGCGGAAAAAAAACGTTTGTGAATTAATTGAATAATAATCTAGCAGATATGAGCATAAAATTTCGAGAGTGACACGTCGCCTTGGGTTTCAAATTTTATTCCTAGCTCGTTGCTTTTGTAGATTTTCTCAATTAAAGAGAAATTATCATCATCGGCTTACCCAATTGTTGCATCATGAGACTGAGATCCACCCATAGATATCTAAACTCCGTCAATTTTTCTGCCGGCTTGTCGCTTTTGAGGGTTATTGCCAAATGTTTTGCAAGGTCTTCGCTAACCGTGCCAAATGCGTTGCAATTTATGTACCTAAACAAAAAAATATTTAAATTGTTATTATAGATTAGAATGCATTCAAAATCCGAATCGAAAATTATATTATTCTTTTTGACCAAATTTTCACATTAAACCTCGAAAATTTCGTTTGTCTAAGACATACCACAAGCTGCAGAAGCAGTTCAGCATCGCTATGATGGGATAGTACGCGAAGGTGTACCAAAACTCAAAGTCTGGTTGCAAAAAGTACTGCGAGACGTTGACGGCAACGCTCAGAGCCCACGAAAATATGCATAGACCCCAGGTGAGGCGATATAGATTGGGAAAAACGATGGGCGAACCAGTGACGCGCCAAAATTTATACTGATAATTCGTCCACATATTCTTAAAGATAGCCACTTCAGGCCCGTGACGCCAACTCGCTACCGGCAGCAGAAAATGCGTGAACAATAAACTGATGAAGATAATATTATAGATCGCCACGTCGAAATGCTTGTCCGGCTGCTCAATAAAGTTCCTGACCCGTGCACGCAACACCATCGCCACAATAAATGTTTCGAGTGAGAAAATACATATGGCGTATAGCATTTGACGCGATGTCCACGAGAAGCCTGTGCGAGGCAAATTATTGTCGGGGGGATTGCGATGAATAGGCATTATGCCCATAATTTGGAAGAGCACGAGTAAGCTCTTCGTCGTCTTGTAGAATGAATCGTGCTCATCCAGTAGACGTGCGTCGTCCAGCGTCGATTGTTTGCGGATGTAGTATTCGGTGGATTTTCCGCCCTCTTGTGCGCGCTTTTGCATTTGTATGCGCTGGCGTTGCTCATCTTCGAGAAACTCCCGTTGGCCGGGATTGAAGAGCGGCACAATGCGCGGTGGTTTCTCCAAAATCGTTGAACCGTCGTGATTCTTCACCCAGAAACTCATAGCGACTAATTTCAAGTTTTTGAAATTTTGTTTAGCAATATACAAAGTAAGCTAGAAGATATTGATTTGCGCATTTATTATGCGGTGATGAGTTCAGCGGTGGGCGAAGCCGTGTAAATAAACGTGTGCACGCATTCGAGTCTTTTTGTAGGTGCCAATAATAGTGTTTAGCAAATAGTAGTAATTCGTAGTATATTGTGTTGATATTCGGTAAAATGTTTTTATATTCCAAGAATTTATGTATATAAGTATATAAGCGGCTTATAACAACCGGAAATGGCTGTTCATTTTCAAATTTCGCCTCGCTATTAATATCTGTAACCTCTCAGATACCACAATAAGCGCAGTGAAAAATAGTAGAAGAATTCAATGGCACCCAAAACGCTGAAGCCAAGGAACAATCCAGCAGCGCCACCAACGGCAACTGTAATGAATTAATTATTAACACTAACTAGTTTCCTTTAAATGCGCATAATTACGAACTGTCAGTTTACTTCCATTACTCACCCAACAAATCGGTAAAAGTAAAAATCACTTGTCGTTTCAGCAACTCCAATGGCCAAGTGGTTACCTCAAGGCCGACAGTAAAACCAGTCTGAAAGATATTGAGATTTGCTAAAACCTAAAATTCAAATGAGAAATAATGATTAACGTTTCGAAATATTCTGCTGTATCAAAATAGTACGTGTATATGTTAGTAGAAGTAACGGGAGAGAAGTAGTGAAGTCCACTAATAGCGTGACTACCACGTGATATTACAATTATGTTATATATAATATAAAGGGTTTCAAACTATAATTGTACAAAGTAACGAGACTTTCAAAAGTATAAGAATTTCAAAAAATAATAACAAGATGTGTTGCAAGCCCAATAAAACCGATTAAAAACCGAGACGCATGATATATGGAACCATACCAAGAGAACTTTGTTTAACTCATTCTCTCATCCACACATTTCTAATAAAATACATGTTATATAGACAGAGCACTTTAATGAATGTTCTTGTATGTTCTCTGATGTAGATGCCTTAACTGCGCTCTGAAACTCTGCATGTCTATCGTTTGCTCTCTCTACTGGCGTGTAATGAAATCAATAATGCTTAGAAACTCACTTGTAATTGTTTTACGAGCTTCGTTAACCTTCCTTACTTGTTCAAATTACCGTTATAAACCGAAATGAACTCTTACCTCCGCACTTTTCACAACCACAATGCTGTTGAAGCAGGAATCCACACAATGGCAATGTACAGTTTTCCGAGCTCTTGAACTATGTAAACGGCGAAAGGATTCTGAAAGTAAAAATAATGCGCATAATTTTTTCTACTCTATCAATACGTCCAGTACCTGCATTTTTAGCCACACAGGACTTAAGCGTAGTGTAAGAGCAAATCGGCTTCGGATTTTTAACTTTAAAATGTAAAATATTTCGAATATTACATTATTTGAAGTTGTTATATATCTACAGGTTTTTAACTCACTTCTGTTCGGATAGAAATGTGGTATGCATTTACATTTTTTATAGACCAAATTAAGGCGACATTCTTGCATGCAAAAGCTTTTAGTATAAATTTCAAAATGCTTCAAATTCGACTCATGCGGAAAGCGGCAATTGCGTTGAGCCACTGTGGTAGATCTTCACACATTAAAAAATAGTTTACAAAAAATAATTACAGTATAAATATTAAATCTTATCAATAATAGCAGAACTAAACTTTTCAAAACCATCTTCGGCAACAATTTCTCGCGTCTCAGCTTTGTAGTACACCGCCTCGTTGGTATAGAAAAACTTCTGCTCAATTTTTAAGGCATCATGAGAAGAGTGTATGAAAACCTGCAGAGAAATGCAAATTTAGTATATAGGTAATGAAAAATGAAAAAAAAAAAAAAATCATTATACGTGACCTTCATCGTTTACAAACTTGATTTTAGCAAACCTGCCACACTCACCCCAATACTTCCGAACGCCTTCGGTACCGATAAAATCAACAATGCGCTATCGAAGTAGCTACCTAACAACATTTTAACATTTTCCTTGTCGATCTTCGGATATTTTCCAAACAAAAAATAGCGTGCTGTGTACTCAGCGTGTAAGTAGCTGTTACTCAAGTAGCAAATACCAAATTCGGTGAGCACCTGACGCACAAAAAAATTCTGAAAGCCATCATTCAGCTTGATGTGTTCCCTTCCTTCCTCCTTCTGCGTGAAGTCGAAGGTTAAGTTATATATCAGTGACATATACTGCGCAGGTCGCAAACGCAAGCGATCCAAGGTGCTATCGATGCTCGGACGTACAGTTATATTGGCGAAGTTAAAATATGTTGAGTTGGCCAAAGTCTCAAGGAAGATATACAGATCCTCTTTCGGCTGACCCGTGATTTTCTTTTTGCTTAAATCAACGATCAAAAATATGAAAAACGATAATTTTTTCGCATTAAATATAAAATATAATATGTTAACGGTATATTTGAATTTAGACGTACTGACAATATTTATCGAAGAGCTCTTGACTTAGACGGCGCATAGGGCACACAGTGAAACTGGGTATTGGTGTGCGCCAGAAGTAGAAATCACGCTGTAGACCCATAACGGTGCTTTTGGACTTATATTTATCCACCGCCTGCAGACCCGTAAAGGTGCACATGCCCACAGATACTAATAAGAGTAACAGCCAAAACACACTTTCGTGGGTTTTAACGAAGAAACATATATACATATGTTATTTTAGGTCGTTTTTAACTTCAACTAGTTAAGCTCTAAAGTATGACCCGGTTCACACTTACTGTTCAATCAAAATCAGCTGCTCTTTAACCAAATATGCAAATCCATGTATGCAACTTTCGGTGAAATAATTTTTGATATACAATCCAATGCCCTTCAGCCAGCGAAAATTTCCACAAAACGCCTGCCATTTTGTGTTCGATTGCGGCTTTTGATTAGTCGGCTGCACTTGTACTTGTATATACATTCCGAAAAGTTATTGACCGACTGTACGCTAGCTGTGTCAGCAAATGCACTGTTACACAATTATTGTGCTTCTAGACTTCTGGTGCCACAATAAAATACTAAATGTTGCACTAAAATGTATCGTGTTTAATTAAATATTCAAAGCTACAAGTGAAACCCATTTACTTTTTTACAGTGTAAGCAATTTTACTGGATTTTTGATGTTGAAGTCATATTTATGTCTGCATAATTGCCAGAAAACTAACACAACCATTAACTACTTAATTATCTGGGTCAACATGGGATCGTACAAGACCACATTAGCGCCAATCTATGCTGTTTAAGAGGTGCACCATAGTTTGACCGTCTAATAAGGCTATTTTTAAGATTTAAAACAAAAACTATCTAATCAATTGTTTTGAAATTTCAAAAGTGAAATAAACAACGAAATTTTTGAAAAAAAAATTAAAAATTTTGCGAATTACGCGCAATATTCGACGACGCTAAAAACAAGGTCCTCCACTGCCGCAGTGATTCCGGCTTTCATTGAAACCTAAAAAAAAAAATTTCTTCTAGAAAATGTTTTGAGAAATCCTTGTTGAAAGATATACTCAAGGAGTTGACTGAACTGAGCTTTTACACTTTAGAAGACTGTAATTCGAAAACTAACGGGTGGTTTTTGTTTTAGACGTGTGGTTTTCAATGATTCAAAACTTTTTTCGGAACTAATCTTTTTGACAGCTGTTACTTGAGTTATACTCAGGCTTGCCATTTTATAATGAACAGACTTACTCCGCAACAACGTTTGGAAATCATGCAGATTTTTACCAAAATATGGTTTGATTTGCGCAAGGCATCGCACGCGGCGTCCAATATTTGGCTGACATAATCGCTCAGCAGAGTCGGTAATTCGTGCAACTATGGATTGATTTCACACCACGTTTACTCGAGTGGATAATGCGCATAATACAGTGCGCACCAAATCCGCTATTGCTGCTGTGGAGCAGACTATCGAAGAAGACCCGCATAAGTCCATCCGCCATCGCATGCAACTATTGGAGCTGTGCCAATGCACTTTGTGGAAGATTTTGCGGAAGGATCTTGGTTTGCGAGCTTACAAAATGCAACTCGTGCAAGAATTTAAACCGAACGACCAACAAACGTGTCACACGTTCGTTGAATGGGCCCAAAACAAGATCGCCACCGACCTCGACTTCAGGAAGAAATTTTTCTTCAGCGACCAATCTCACTTTTAATTGAATGGGTGCGTTAATAAAACGCAACTGCCAATGCAAACATAATATATTTGAATAACACATTCCTTCGTGAACATTGGAGTATGTTTCATAAACGAAGTAGCAACACGAAAACCCAAACGCAACCAACTTACTATTTTAGTAGAACGCATCACTTGCGCGGAAATTTCAATCGCAATAAAAACTTTTTCAGCGAACTAATCAAGGCAAAATTGATAAATACAATTAAAATGCGATTGTTTAGTTTTTCTTACAAAAGAGTGAAATTTATTAATTAGTAAAATATAATTTTTTTTTGCACTTCGTTTTTTATGTACTTTTGTTTGTTTGTCAGTTTTATGCTAAATGGTCGCTTAAACTTAAAAGGTGATAGAAAATAAAAATAATTTGAGTAAATATGTACTCGTATATATAAATTAGTTATAATATATTACGGAATTAACTTGCTTATGTAAAATATTAGACAGAACATAAAACTATTAGAACACATTAGTTAAATTATTGCATTTAATGTTTTCTAAAAGAAATAACACGGTTTTTAGAAATTCGAACATTTTACCGAGTAAAGCCTAGTTGAGAAGTGTTTTCAATTGTTATATCATCGAACTTAAAAGTTATTTTTAAATTATGTTGTCCGATTATTAACAGTTCAGTAATGTAATTTCGTTTAAAAAATGAGAAATACTCTCACTCGTTTCAAATAATTAAAGAAATCTTTCGAAATTTTAAAAATGTTTAAAGTAAAAGTCAGTAAATTAATTTAAATTAGACAAATATCGGAACTGTCTGTTTCCAAAAAAGAAATACTTTGTCGCAAGGGTATTAAGCTAAATTAAGCACTTGAATGCAAAATCGGCTGCTCAATATTGCAAGTACAGCTGTATATGTACGCATGTATATGGAATGTGCCTTACAAATAAATACATATACGATATTAATAAAAATCAAAGGTAAAATACAAAATAATTTCTTGCTCATTTCTGAATTACTCTCATGCGCATTAATTTACAGAACTCAGAGAACAAATACCAACTAAATAATTATTTCTAACTTCATTATTATAAATACTTAGAAAATACCTACGTGTAAAGCTTAATTTCACACAAAAGCTTTTAGATAAATATTTTTTTTAAGAATTTGCAGTGATTAAACAAATCGAATCGATTACTTTGTAGCTTTTTCGTAGGTAAAACAGAGTACAAATCGTTTTTTTCGCTATGCAAATAAGAATAATACGCTTACTTTTTCAAATACATATAAAACAGAAAACGAAATAAAAACTAAAAATTATGCTAATTAAATATTGTAGCATATTTTATTACTAAGTACCCCTCCACGCAGTTTTGTGTGTAATTAGGCGGCACCACAGGAGTAACAGCAATTTTGCTTGTAGTAATCATAATTGCAGAGCTTCGCCTTGACAGCCCACTGACAGTTGTTGAACTCGTCCACACAGGAGATTGCAACATCATTTTGCAGTAACTCTAAATGCGGTTCTGAAAGAATAAGTGAGAGATTTATTATTCATATAGAAATGTATATACATATACACAATTTATTCATAAACTAAAACAAAAAATATTAAATTTATTTCAAAGCATTTTTTATACAAGTAAAAATATTTTGTTTTCATAACATAGATAATGAAGTGTATAAATTCCATGCTAAATACTTTATTTTATGTGCATAAAATTGTATCCTACTCCTTATACCGCGTTCAGACGAGCGCTCTTTTGTCGCGCATTATAGGCAAATTCTCTTTCCGTGACGCTCATTGCATTCACACGAATGACATGAGTTCGTCAACTTGATTCAAACAATTTTCTGCACTTTCCTTCATATCACATTCGCACATTCTTCTACGTTTCACGTACGTGGTGAACAAACATTTGTGATTACCTAATTTTTAGACTTATTAACTTATTATTAACCCCTTTTTAAAGCATTATAATTATATTGTGGATATTAAATATACGGTTATTATATACAAAAATTATAATAAAAATCAATTTCTGAACATGATGTAACTATTCCTTTGAAACAGAGCGCTATTGCAACCATTGAAAGAATTTCAAACGAAAAGAAATGCCAAATTGCGTAGCAGCGAAATGTTACAAACAGGAACACAAAGCGTGTCAGCCGAGCACGATCGGCACAGTTCCTTCGTCTTTTCTCGTCGTCTCCTCGCCTACATAAAACCAGTTTGTGCGACAAAAGAGTACTCGTGTGAACACAGTCTTATATGATATCAAGCTTAAAACAAGAGAATGGAGGACTACGTCCTCATTAATTACTTTTCTAATAAATTTGATTTTTAAAATGCACCGACAGCATTAAATATCAAGAAATATAAGAGGATTTGTAAGGTAGAAACAAATTGTTTGGGTGCACGCGCCAGTGTTGGCACTTTGAATTAATTCGTAAAAGAAAGTAAGCTGTAGTAGGTTTAAAAAGTGGTGACCTTTTTGTGATATACTTAAATAATTATAGCAGTCTTCGATTTGCCAAGCGTTGGAGGGTAGTGAATCGAACAAACTAAACCAGTTGTTCAAACAAAACGGTAACAGCCTGTGCTATCATGTCCTCCTGTCAATTCTGTCAAATGTATTGTACTTCTTTTTGTATGTACAAATTCTTCTTTTCGCCAAAAGAAACATTTTAGCACTTCCTTAATTTCGAGGTTTATGTTTTCTATAAACGACTATACTTTATTTAAAGTCTTAAGTTTTGAAAATTAATAAAAAAAAATGTAGCCAAAAACCAAATTATCCAAGTTGAGCTTATATCATTTTTATATACTTTTTTAATAATATTAAAGTAAATACAAATTTAAAAAAATCTTAAAACTATAAATTTTTTCTCGATTTATTATAAACAAATCTCCCACTCCTGTTATGTATCTTACCATCGCATCTTTGAGTGTTACAACTGCGATAGATCGGTTCACGCAGAGAATACCGACACTTCGCCGACTCACGCATTGCTGCCTCGCGTTCATCGTACTCTAAGCATTTGACCGAACGTCGTTGAGTGCCACCATCACACGATTTCGAACACTAAATCGAACAGAAAAAATAAAAGTTATGCTTTTCGCAAATATAATAACTTTTCATACCTCTGTCCATTCAGAGTAATGCCAACGTGGTCCACAATATTCCACTTCTTCGTGCGAACAATTCTCCCCCAACTGTGGTTTTAATTCAGGCTTACAATCCGCATCCTTAACTATTTCATGATTGTGTATGCAGTAGACGGCTCGACTGCGTGTCAAATTGAAGCAGTTACCATTACATGGTGACCACGGACCTGTGAACCATTCACCTTTGTCGCAATCACGTTCTCGTTCACATGGACGAGTCATTTCTGGCGTAGTACGCGAGTCACAACGGTCAGTATTCGGCTTTGTACGATCACAGAATATCGTGCGATATTCGACACCTGCACCACATTCAACCGAACAGAACTGATTCCAATCGGACATTAACCAAACGCCAGATTTGTCGTTCTTATCGCGCCCACGATGATTAGTGCCGTTGGCCCCCGCATGTGCCGTACGATAGCGGGCAGCATGTGAACGCCGTCTATTCTTTGGACAGTCGCATGGTTTGCGCGGATTAGGCATCTCATCGATACACGCTGAGTTGTCAACATGTATAACAATACCGGAAGCGAGTTCTTGCACACAGCTTATATCACGCTCACGATAACCTTCGCCCTGTTGACAATGGCATTCACTCCAGTCCTCTATGCGCCAATATGCGGGACAAGGCTGGGTATTACAACGCAGAAGATTTTCATTAAGCATTGGTTTCTCAGAATGCATGCAACGGCGTTGCGAATAGTAGCGAACGGGATTCTCGCGAACACAGCGCACAATTGGTGTTTGTATGCCGCCTCCGCAAGTTTTGGAACAGGCGCTGAAGCCAACAACTTTCCAATTGAAGCGACGTCTTCGACCCGACCGCGAATTACTTGCAAAACTTTCCTCTGGACCATTTTTCAAGAAGCCTTCACTTTCTACTGATAACTCATTCTCCTCGGAGTCTGATGTGATAGGCAGCAGATACTCATACTTGATACCCGGATTCGAAGATTTGCTATATATCTGTTGTATACAAAATAGTATTCACTAAGCATTGTGCTAATTATGAAATTGATATTTAATCACCATTAACTCTAGCATTTCTCTAATGGGTCCCAAACAAGTAATCCATTCGGTGACACCATCGCCATGCTGTAATCCATCTATACGATGATAGTCGAAAACGGCACCCACAGCTTCATAGGCGCCACTATCTGAAGCCACATTATCGCCGTTAAATATATATTTCTGATCGGGTGTACGCAGCACTACAAGAGATTAGTATGTAATAAAATTGTGGCATACGCTCAAATCGGAATCAAAGGAAATAATATATATTATAAATTAAATTAAAAATTTTTTTTGTTTTACCGAGCAAATTTATGCTGTTTCCCAGTTCAATTATAGAAATATTTGAAGATCCTGCTGGTATTGTGGCTACGTGCACGTAAGCGTCTTCTGGTAAAGGATCACGAGTAAAGATACCCGTAATTGGTCGGCAAATCAAACCGCCACAGCTGACTGACCCACTGTTAGCCGAGAGTCCAGTGATGATCCCAGTGGCATGGATGGCCTGAAATAATTAAAAAACATATATCTATAGCAGTTTCTATTGAAGTATCAAAGTTTCGTTTTAAAACTGCATGACATCTGTCTTAGGAAGAACTAAACTCACAAAATCCCAAATAGAAATACTGAAAATACTGAAAAAACCATCAAACCTCTTGTCTTATTAGGTAATACTGTGAAATCGCAGGAACTAAAATCCCCTCGCTCCAGCAATTCCTCTCTGAACCACCCTGTGCTCCTGATAAAATTCATCAGTAAAAACATTTTTATTAGAGACATCGTCAAGACACTCTCGGCCAATAATTGGGAGTATTTTGCCAATACAAAGCCTTGCATTCGCATAGAAGATGTTCTACAATCGGCATCGTATGGTGTTCCCAGTCTGCTGACATATCTGCCACTCCTACTAGAGTTCTTATGTCATTCTATTTGAATTTTAATAATCGGCATGTGCGGCTAATATTCCATTTATGCTATGTCTGAATGCTTAGTGAGAATCCGCAATGTCTATAACATCTTTGTCGATAAAATATATACAGAGGCATATAAATTCCTTCTTTTTGGGATTCCCATTGTAGGATGGTGCCTGATCTCGCTAGTTCGTCTACTTCAGAGTAACCAAGGATATCATTACCACCTGGAACCTATTGCACATAGTGGCATTCTTTCGCTAAATTTGATTAGTCCCTTAGAGTAAATGTAGTAAACAACTTTTTAAATATCGGGGTCTTTAAACTATGTTCCATTCGATACATTGTACAAGTAATAAAAAAAATATTTTATAAAATCTACTTACACTACTTTTGCACTAAAGCTTAATAGTTCACTCACCAAGAAAGCCAAAAACAGCTTCTCCAACATTTTCAAACACCCAAAACCTCTGCAAATTTTGCTTCAAATTGTCGGTGCGTCTGTTATTAATGAGATCTTCTAAAATTTATAGATAAGTCGAAATAAAATAAAAACACGAAGCTAAAATAAATTGTACCGACGGCGATTAGCGATGTATGCAGTTCCACAAAGATATTCAATAAATCTTACTTAGCTTTTGTATAGAGCAAACTATTAGCATATGAAAAGAGTCACGAAACCTGAACCGCCAAGAAACGTTTTAATTTATGTGAGTGGGTGTGTGTGTGTAGTCAGAAAAATTGATTTAGTTATAATTAAATGACAAGTAGCTTAAAATCTGGTGCGGCAAGATCATTATCAATGAAATCAACATTTTTTAACAATAAGCCGAGCTTATATTAAACATGAGCGCCCATAAATTTTATGCGTATGTTTTAATGTCTCTAACGCGAAGCCAGTTAAGTGAAGCCCTTGAAATCCAAATAAAAATTCGACATAAATCCACACAAATGATGTCTCTATAGTTTCTCAGGGCGAGATATTTCAAGCTTACTTTCATTTATTGCCTGCGAAAGCTATTATACAATTTTTTTCTCGCCTAATTTATTGCCTTATAATACTTAGTGAACAATTAATTAAAAGTGTTAATTTCGGCACACAGTCATGTATAATTTAGTGCTAAATTATAAAACCACATATTTATTCATTCAAAATTTTGACTTTTTTATACGCAACACAGAATAGAAACCAATTATGGGCTATAGAAATTAACATAAGCGGCGTTTAAAAGGGGAGTAGATGAGTTGGAAGCATCGCAGCAGGAAGTGCTACCGAAATCATTGGTCACAAGTAAACGGTATTTAGAGGGGTGGTCAAAACAAACGAAATTTTATTTTTCTGCTTGGTATTCTGAAAAATATTTTCGTAGACACCTTTAAGAAAGTTTCCCTAACTATCAGCTCTTAATTGTAACGGGAAGTTTCAGTTTTCTATTTGTATACCCTGAACAGAGTATATTAAGTTTAGCGCGAAATTTGTAGCACCCAGAAGAAAACGTCAGAGACATGTCCGTCTGTCCGTCAGTCTATCTGTATATGCGCGAACAAGTCTCTCAGTTTTTGAGATATCGATCTAAAATTTAGCATATGACCGTCTCTCGTCAAGAATCTGCTCATTTTTTATCGCATATAGCTGCCATACAAACTGAACGATCGGAATCAAGTGTTTGCATGGAAAACTTTTTCATTTGACGAGATATCTTCACGAAATTTGCAACGAATGGAAATCAAGTTCTTCTAAGAAAAATTGGGAAGAGTATTATAGCTACGGTGCAACCGAAGTTAACGTTTTTTTTTTTTGGTTTTTGCTTATTATCAAATAGAAAATTTTAAATCTCGCTTTCAACTATTTGATATAAAAAAAATATCTCGTTTCATTTTTGTAGCGCAGTAAATTACCTACAAAAATATGAGTCTTCCGATTCAACAATTTTTTATCCCATTGATTTATAAAATTCATAAAATAATCAAACTTCAACCGTTAATATCTCTTAAACGGTTAGGTTTACGTATCGTAAGAGATCTTTTTGTAGAGCATTAAATTTTTTACAAAATCTATGATCACGCTAGTATTTTTTGATTCAGTTGTTGAGCATTTTTAAATAAATTTTTCAAATCCACAAATACTACATTTCTACTGCTCTTAATAAAATTAGAAGCTATAGTTAATACCTACAATTATTACATACAAATAACAGACCACTTGTTTGTTGTATATTCCCATAAAGTCTATAAGAACGCGAAAATTCGTTCATACACGCACACAATGCGCGATCACTCACGCAATCTATGAATTTATTACAGCTATCTGAGCTTTATAGGAAATAAATCGCAAATAAAAAATGATGAATGCATATTTTTACAGTTCACCAGTATCGATATATACGAGTACTGCGCACTCACATTCGATTGGATACGTGTATTTTATTCTCCGCATTTGCTCTTTGATCCACGCATAACATATTAATCAGTGCGATCAGACAATGTTTGGCAGCAATTTACATCTTCATAGATACACTTAACAACCTAATACATAAATTGTTGTTGTGATTTATAGACGTAAGCAAAGAAATGCAAAGAAAGTGATGTTCTATGAGCAACAACATAATCTTACACACATGAAGCACACGTACTAGTATAGGTGAAGACTGTTTGGCACAGTTAAGTCTCTTGCAGACAGAATTTGTAGGTGAGGTCTGATGATAAGCCAACCAACCTAGGTTGGACATATGAGGAAAGATCGTAAATACATTCTTGCATACGAAGTGCGAATTTTAGGCGTGAAATAAAAGTGTAAGGCAGATAAACTAAACTTGCTTCGGGAGTGTAGGGTTCATTCACCTAGTGTGAAATTAAAAAATTTTAATTTTTCGATAGGTTATAACTTTGAAAATAATATACTCAAATTTGAAATCACTTTATCAAATAGGAGACAAATGATCCAACCACTATTAAATTTTTTCTAAAAATCGGTATGTTTTGGCATCACAATAGGTGTACACTTTAAAACAGTTAGTTAAATCAACCTGCGCACCAACTATTGTTCTCCACTCACCGGACTATGAATATGGATATGGCTTCTATTGATAAGACGGATCATTGTAAGGGACTACATACATATATCATACATTGTTCCCATGTTACTTAAAGCGATGGTTTATTCGATTATTTTAGTACATATTTTAGTGGTTGCAGAAGCAAAATGGTCTTTAAAGATTTTAACGTTCTCACATCTCACTTGCTTTATTTCACGACGATAAATGGTCAGGTAATTTGTTAAAAAAATTATCATTGCCGCAGCTGTTAAAAATATTTGCGAGCTCTCTTTCTTACTAACCAACGACAGTTGGCGCTAAGTAAAACTGCGTTCACACACGAAGACCTTTATTGCCCAAACTCGTAGTTTGTAAGCAAAATGGTCATTCGCTCGTATCACTGCAATGGACAAAAGAGAAGTTTCTGATAATTAGCTACAAATGTCTTCGTTTGTAAAACCTATTTACCATAAAAGAAAACTATACAGTATAGGGTATACTAAGTTTGCCACGATGTTTGCAACACCCACAAAGAAACGTCAAAGACCCTATAAAGTATAAGTACTATATACATATACCATAAATGATCGGTGTGACAAACTGAGTCGATCAACCAAGTCCGTCTGTCTCTCCGTCTGTTTGTCTGTATATACTCGAACTAATTCTTCAGTTTTTGAGATAACGATCTGAAATTCTGCACACGTCCTCTTCTAACCAATAAGCTGCCTCTTTGACGGAACCTTCGATATCGGATCACTATAGTATATATGAGTACATAGCTGCCATACAACTGACGAATTAAACCCAAGTCTTTATTTGGCATAGATTTTTATCCAAGGTACATTCTCGCAACATATTGTGTTATTGTGCAAAACCATAAAGGAAACTCACACATTTTAATGCAGTCAATCGCATATCCATCAAATTCACACCAACCGGTATTAAACTTTTTTCCGATTTCTCGAAAAAACAAAACAAGCTCTGGTCTACTAATTGCCAAGCCACACAAAAAAATATTTTATTTACATAGTTTACTTTATGAGCATTTAAAATATTCCTCAGTAGTTAATTACCTATGTCCAAATAAACCAAGCACTCGCGTGCATGCCACCACACACTTGCGCTTCTACAGTGAAACAACAACAAACTAACTAATGTGGCATGCTTTTTCGAAAACTTTTAGTGCTACTCAAACACATTACGAAAACGCAACTTCAGCGGCCGTTTAGCGACGCGTGTGTGACACCACATCCTCTGCCGCCGTCCAATCGCGCTCAGCTGTCTGGCTGTTCACACATCCGACTGCGCGGTCGGTCGCACGCTATATGCGTTCGTCCGTCCGTTCGGCCGTGGCTCCGCATAACTATCTATCACCATCCACTTAAGCTCTGAAGCCTGCATCGCTGCCACTGTTGTTGTTGTTATGGCTAATTTGTCTGAAATTTTTATTATTACTGTAGGTTGCTGTTGTTGTTGCTTCATAACGTAGTGGTTTATTGTAATATTATTATTATTGCTGCCGCTGCCTTCTTGTTGTGGCGCTCGATGACGGCGCACAGGTATTTATTTTTCTTTTGACCGGAGCCACAGCTAGCACCGCCAGTCAGCGGTTGCATTTTTGACGTCAACACAATTTGGCCTTTAGTCAGTTTATGTTTACTTGTGAATTTGCAACAGATTATCGCTGCATCTACAAGTAATCGGTGCATGACAAGATATTTACATTTGCATATTCAGATACACACACACACATACATACATGAATTAAGTTTATTATTTTTTCTCCAAATTCATGCATTTTTCGGCATGACGAGAGACTTCAATGTGGATGTTATTGTTGGTGCGCGCAGCAGCCGCGTGTTGCGGCTCATTGAATGCGTCGATATCGCTTTATTGGCCAATTTGCAATATGACATTTAAATATTTTTACGGTTTCATGTAAAATAAATGCGTGAGTTTTTTATGTTGATCGGGCGTTTGAATTTAATGGCCTGGAATAATTTTTCAATAATACATAAATGCATTTATTGAAAAGTCCTATTTTGTTGTTGCTGCATGAACGTTTGTCAAATGTAGCACTTTATTGTTATTGAAATATAACAATTACCCTAGGAGTAGCCAGAGCATTAATTTGCTTAAGTATAACAGCGAGATCTTTCCTACTGAATTCCCATAACAATATAGTGTCCTCTGAATATAATATCATGAGTGGTAAGCAATCATATCCACTTGTGAATTTTAAAAGATTTGCTTATGTATCGAATTATATTTTGAGAATATTCTCCAAAAATTTGATCCGGCAAGTAGTTTCGGAGATATGAGCGTATTTGTTTCCGAAATGGCTGGACTGCTCGATTTTGAAATTTTTACACTACCTTCATAGATATATTTGCCTGGTAATAATCGAAAAATTTTTAACTAGTCCTTCGATCTTTACCTTAACCCATCTATAGTAATAATAAAATGTTTTCGATTTTTGGGTTTGAGATAATTTCAAACAGCAAAATCTTATTCGACGACAGACACATTGCGGTTTCGGAACAAGGGAATCCAAATTTTTTTATTAATAAATCGCCTAATAGTTGTACATATATTACTTTTAATTATTTATTAAATAAAATACCTCTTCAAAACAAATCACAAAAAATTCATTTGCAAGTGGATACAACCTCTTAGCAAAATACTACACAAAAATATGTATGTATTTCTAAAGAAGTTCCCAGTTTTAATAAAAATTGAAATTTGGAAATGTCTAAGATTAGGTTAGATTAAAAGGTCGATTGGACAGCTTAGAACGCCGGTTCGTTGTGGTAATCTTTAACGTTAGTTCCCGTGAAACCAATTCCTTAGTCTGACCATTAGTTATTATGCAATACCACTCATATATACATATATTCTACTCAGCAATTTTCTCTATTCTTTGATATTTCAACTTTTTTACTCAGACGGAACTTAATAATATTTGAGTGGAATCCTAAGCTACCGTCGAATCACTAACTAAACTACGAGTAACTATCATAAAACTATGTAGAATAGAAAAGAGTTACATTATTGTAAAGAGAGCGGAAAGAGAATAGACTCTCGCTTGGATAAAAATAAATATTGCAGTAATAGTTCCAGAACACTATATGTAACTGTAACCAGTTTGAGAAAGAATAGATTGTTTAAATTCTCTTCAGATCGAACTGCCGGTCCCCACATTAATAAACACATACAAACTTAATTATTAATCGCCTAAACAGGTATTTATAAAACATGGAAGGGGGTGTATACCTCTGTAGGGTCAAAATATACACACAAACGTTTATATATTGTATCCTAAAGCTTCGCGGAGGAGCAAAGGCTTACAAGAAGACTCTTCCATTTATTTCGGTTAGCCTCTGGATTGACTTCAACTTTGGACCTTAGATATTTCATTATTCAAGTTCCTTCACCAGGCTAGAGTGGGTCGGTCTTTCCGTCGGCTGCCTTGTGGGCTCCAGTGTATGGAGCCATTCTAAATTTTTTCAGAATTTTTAATCAGAAATCTTAGAAACCGGGAAAAAGGCACCCCACTTAGCTGTGCCATGTTTTCGAGCCTTCGAAATCTACTTTCATCAGCGCTATAACATTTCAACAGCTCTTAAGATTTCTATGCAACAACAATGCGTCACAGCAATTGTGTTAATATTATGCATCATCTGCCACATTTCGGTCATAACGTTTTCAATTTTGTTGGCCACAATCGAATGTGACATTTTAAGAGCGAAGCGATAATGGCTATGTCTTTTATGTTTATTTACAATAATTTTTGTGATTTTATTTCAATATATTTTCTCTGCGCCGTAAATGTTAATCTGCATACAAAAAAGGTGGTGAATCCACAGCGCCATTTCGGTTTTTATGATTATTGAAACTATTATTTGCATAATTTGGGTGTTAAGACGTGCTTCAAGAGACCTTTTTTTTAGTGAGACACGTAAATGTGTTCCATTTTTTATTAGTTTTCGACTAAAACACAAAGCAGCTCGTAAAGCATCGAACATTGTTTTGATTTTTTTATGTTTTTTTTTTTTTAACACACCGTACAAGTGCATATGTGTTGAACATGGAACTAGAGTCTGCATTTGAAGGTGGTTGCGTTGCGCTCTTGTTGATTAGCTGTGAACAGTTGTTCGCGCAATTTTATAGCTTAGCGCCTTCGGCAAAATAACTACAAATTGATTTCTTATTATATTGGTTCGAACATTTTTATTAGCATTTCAGCATGGATTTATAACATAATTAGGGGTTTCGCGAATTTACTGGGCAAAAACAACAGCAAATTTTTACGACCTTGTTGACTTACGGGTTCGCTAATTTTACGCGATCTAAATATTTGTCGTATTGCGTAAAAGGCAAAAAATATTTATAGTCTCCGAGCTTTATATAAAAATGCTAATATAAAAATAACAACTCATTTTCTATAGAAAATTAATTTAACAACAAATTTATTATTAGGTCAACGAAAGAGTAGAACTGCACAGAAGAAATTTATACTGAACACGCATGAAAAATTTTCGAGTGATCGGATCATATGTGTCCGATTAATTCTTCCTCCACTTAGGTTTATCTGCACCTTATGCCGAGTAAAAGTCTTATACTTTCGAAACCACAGCTCTGATGTACTTTGAAGAAACCGAAAGTGCCATAAAGAGAGTATATAAGTCGAGTAATAGCACCATTAAGGTATACAAATTAAATAATAAGACAAAATTCGAAAACTTACATTTACCAATTGGTAATATAAGCTTTAAAAAGATTTAAAAGTGATAGTGGTTCTAAGGTCACTCCCTCCGAGCTGGTGATCTTTAAGTAAGCGAGTTCTTAGCGTATGTGCTATCACAATCTGCTTGGCTCACTATATCTACACCTCTTAGACTACACTTTATGTTTTCTATTATTACATTATCCACATGAAAGCACTTTGCCAGCACCCACATTGCATCCACAGTACTAAAAATATGGCATCTCTCCGACATTTCGACGACAATTATCATCGCTGCTAACAACATCAATGACAGCCAAACAACTTTACAACTCAATAACTGTCAGTCTGTGTGGCGACGCATTCATTGTATTCACGTAAGTCCGGCTCTCTGTATATCGCTTTGCTGTAGTTGGTGATAAATTTCAAGCTTAGGCATGCAATGAAATTGAGCAGCATGCATACCAAACATAAGTTACATATTGGCAGAAAAAATATAGTTATGAGCTATGTAAGTCAGTAAATACCCAATGCTTAGGTAAATATATGAAACATAACCGCAAAAGTAACACTTCTATGTGTCAAATTTGACATTGAAAATGACAGTTGCGTTTTTTTTTTATTTACTGCCTGGCGGACAAGTGACAACCACAATGTTAACATCAGTGCGCATATACATCCACCGTATCACATTGGCAGGCGTCGCGCCTGATTGGCAGTTGTAAAGGCAGATAGACCCATAGACATGTCTGGTTAGTGGTAGCGGCCCGTGGGCATAGAAATTATTGCCGTACGCCAATTGTGGGAGCTGTCATGTATGTGTCAAAAGGGCCGCGGAAGCAACAAGCGAAGGCATATCTTGATTTCACGCGCATGCAACGGCACTAATGGATATTGTGGGCTGGTAGGCTAACGCGGGTGGCACAAGCGACAACTGGTTCTATGTAGGTGACGATTTTGTAAATATTTGCATGCAATAAAAGCGCATAATAATTGATGTGCTGAAATGCGTGAAATACTGCCAAGAAATAAATATTCGATTTCGCGTAGAGGGAAGTGAAATGATTAAATAATCTGTGCATGGACTATTGACACAGCGTTAAAGCCAAGTTACAGTCAATATTGGCGAATTATAATATTTTTCTAAACAAATTTACATACTTGTATATACATACATGTACAAGGCATCTGAAATATAAATTTGTATTAAAAATTCTCACGCGAGCTCAGCAAATCAGACAAAAACCGCTGCATTGAATCAGTAAAGTAAATAAATGCCGATCTGCATATATTCGCCAATTCCAAACAAATTTTCATAATTTTGTAAACATTTGTGGCCTAAACGCTAGGAGGAAGGAACCATATTTAGAGAAAGCAAAATAATAAGTATGTTTTGGAGGTTTATGAACTAATTTAATCCATTAGTGAACAAAACTTAACTGGAGCAATGATATTTATATCATAAAGCAGTCCAAAAAGGCAATGACACTGTGGCGGCTTTCAGTATTAAAACTGCGTTGAAACCGAAGTTAACACTTTTTCTTGTTTTACTGTATTTCTGTTACTTTTCAACAACATAATGTAGTACATATACAAAAATTTACTGTAAAGTGTATACTGTATATAAGTATATAAATAACTACAAGTATATACAAAATTATATGCAAGTAGGAGCAACCATTGACCTTGAATTAATTTGTGTACGAAAATTAAAACAAAAATCGAACTGATAGGCGCAAGAGTCAGCGTTAACAATTTGAATTTATGTGATTTTAATTAGCTGTTTATAAAGCCTATTAAAGCTATTTAAAAATGGCATACAATTCGTGTGGCGGTGTGTGAGAATCTGTGAATGAAAAGTGAGTTGTCACAATTTGGCGCTTTTTTGTTCCCTTTCGAGCAATTCATTGTGCTTAGTAATGACTGTAACACACCCTAATAAAAACACAGGCAATTTGTGTAATATTAGTAACATGTTTCAAAAGCAGCAATAAAAAATCCATCAATTGCATTTAAAGTGCGATAACACTTTGAGCTTTAAAACTGCGAGCCTTAGCCCTTAATACTTAATAAAACAACACATACATACATATTTAAGTATGTAAGTCCAATTGTCTATATTAAAAAGTATTTATGACAGTTGCAGGTCATGAGTTCCGCTACTCGTTTCAATGGAACCCTGCCTCAGCAGCACCTTCTTCATATTACTCATGTGGTTCCACGGTTACACACAGTTGCAACTTTTGCCTTTTGTTTACCTGTAAATTTGTTATTTCATACTTCGATTCCATTTGAAAGTCATTAGCAGGTTTATTTGTAAATCCGAACTGTTTATTTGCACTTCTGAAGTGTGAGCATAAAACTGCTGAGAGATTTGTTTACTAAGACATTAAAGTTAACGACCACCTTGTTGTGTTATTTGCTTTTATTGTCATGGAAGAAGAGAGTGTTCAGAAGTATAATAGCTGGAAAAATTTAAAATAAACTTGAGTGTATATTTTGAAGTATTAAGTGATTTTAAAGAAAGAAAAAGTTATTACGAGCCATACCAGGAAAAACTGTGCATGGATACGAAAAAATATGACTTTCAACGGTAATTAAGAGGCGTTTCAGATATTCTTGAATCAATTTGCAAAATGTTGCGATAATTTATTTATAATTAATTGCGGCTAAATGAGCTAAGCCTTCCACTTGTAGTACATGACTTGACTACATATACGCACCACTCAAACCGGCACAGCGTTGGCAACTTTAGTGCAATACACCACACAGAATCCCACCATAGACGATCACACCACACTTGCTTAAGTCCCCACAGCATATACTCCACATATACTACAACGAACAAATATGATTGGATCATCGATCTCATCACCTCACTTCTCTTAGAGAGCGGTCCTACGCTGGTCTTCGTCCGATTTCATCAATTCCCCGGAACGTAATTTTTCTAACCACAGCAAGCCTAGAGGTAATCGAGTTACCGAACATTGTATTTAAAATGTATGCTTTGAAAAAATATGCAGCAACAAACTTATTTCGAGAGAAAAATTTTATTTTGAATCTCATGAATATACTTTATATACTTATATGAATATATTTTTATACTAATACCTCAGAGAGCGATTTCTTAATGGGCTTTTTTAAAAACACTCTTTCCGCTCTTACCCACAAGTATACACTGTGACTACAAAGTGCGTGTAATAACAAAAATTATAAACTTTTTTTATAAAAAACTAATCGTGTACTTTTAACGAGAATGAACTTGAGCTTGGCAAGCAAAATTCTTCCATCGATTTGTATTTACAAAAAAATTTAAATTTGTTTTTAATTTCTCACTTCCAATTTGTATGTACGTGTTGCAATGCTCCACATTATTGAGCGGTTTTTAAATTTTATTACCTTTCAACTACATTTTTGATTAGTCTACTTGTATAAGCATATGTAACATGTGTATATGTATGTGTAAGTTCGACTTTTGTTATCAGCACTTTTTTTTTTGGTTTTTTTTTTTTGACACTTTTTAAGTGTTGCGATTTTTATGATTGAAATTTCCATTAATTCCTATATGCGTATGTATGCATGTCTGCCTTAACATAATTTTAAACTTTAGTCATAGTTTACTTGGTATTCAGTTTGCTTGCAAAAGATCTGTCATCTATACTAATCAATTTATCGCTCTTAGAAACATATTTATGTTCTCTCAATTTCTGATTTGTTCTCGTTATGTTATGCATATTTTTTCTAGGAACTCATGTGAAACCACTTTACGTTAGGTGTTGAATGCGAATTTGGCAATTGATATGAAAATACAATATGAATAATGTACTTAAGTAGTGTGCTGAATCTCATTAAATCTACAAAGTCAAATGGGTTTCTGAAGTAGTTACAAAAATCGTGAAAAATAAAATATTTTAGTGGATTTGAGTACACACTCTCATTCGAACCCTCTGGAAATTGCTGATATTTCATCGCAATAGAGAGGAGTATTTATGGCTAAACTCAGCAAATAGTACCACAATGACAAAACTTGGTTTATCATTTCAGCTTTGGGATCAATATTAGTCAAAGTTTTATATGTAACCCACATTTTTTATAGGATATATTTGCTACGAAACGCCCACAAGGAAACGTTGTGCTTGTAAAAATATATATAAATGATCAGCGTGACGAGCTAAGTCGATTTAATCATGTTCGTCTATCTATATATGCTCGTACATGAACTAGTCCCTCAGTTTTTGAGATATGAATCTGCATCATCCGTTTTCTTCCAAGAATCTTGTCTCATCTGTCGGAAATCCCCGATATCCCATCACTGTAGCATATAGTTGCCTTCCAACTTAACGGTCAAAATCAAGTCCCTATATAGCAAACTTTATTATTGGACAAGATATCTATCACAAGATCGGACCGCTACAGCGTAAAGCAGCCTTAGAAACTGATGACTTTTTGCATTGAAAACCTTTTTATTTGCCAAAATATACTTCCAAATTCGGTATAGATTATTCTCCAACGGTTTAATCTGCAAACAAATTGTGCAGTTTGGATCACTAGTCATAGCTGTCATACCAACTGACTGATCAAAATCAAGTTCTTGAAGGGAACTTTTTTATTTGTGAACGATATTATAGCTTCGGTGCAGTTGAAGTTAAATTTTTTTGTTCTTCCCCCAATCATTCTTATTTCATTATAATCTGTTTAGGGTGATTCCAAACTTTTTTCCGTCTATTTGATCTTCAACTCATACATATTTATACATTCCTGCGATATTCAAACTATTAATAAAAATATTTCCGACTTTGCGTTCATAAATTTGCAAATTTATGTTTCATTCGTTGTAATTATCATATTTAAAAACATATGAAAAAACGGTATTTATGTTATTAGGTTTTCCAACAAATCATATATCCACATTAATTTTAATTGCAAGTGTTATTGCTCATAACGTTGAATGGGCTTTTGAGCTCTAACAACAATTTGAATTGAAATACAATTTGAAATATTTACCCTATGGTAGATTTTAATAAACATTCATTTAGATGCGAATACATATTTATAACATTGAACATTGCGAACTTTACCGCACAAAGTAGCTGGGTAGTTTTCTTGATATATCTTGGAGTCTTAAAGTCAGGAGACAAATGCAAATTGGTATATTAAATTAAACGGTTAATACAATATGTAGCCAACAGCTTTGTTCATATCTTTGGTTATATAACGATTAAAATGTTGTAGGCGAAACAATTTCATTATGATTCTTATTTACTTAGGTGGTTTAAAATCAGCATTCAATTTAGATTTGCATATTTAATTAATTAATTATTCCCACCCGCAAAAGAAACATTTAATAAGTAAAACTATTTTATTTAATTACAATCATTTGATGTGAAAATATCGACCTGTATGAGTACTCTTATTCCCAAACAATTTATGCGGGTGTCATCACCAGTTATAACATCTTCGGTATTCAGCATTGTATCGTTGAAAGCTGCTGACAATGTGCGCCCTCAACTAGAACGCATTCCTTTGTTGTCCGCAGTTTATCTGAGATCATCGAAATTTAAAGATTCGAACATACCTAAACTGACTCATCCGCTGACTCATCAGCAAATTATGCAACAAACAAAAAAAACTATTTGGTGTACCGACTTTTGCGATTTCATTAACAAAGTTCTAAATCTATTTAGTACGGGTGAGTGGATGTTTACGCTATAGTTTGGTCCTAGCGCCTTTAGCGGGATTTGTGTTTGCTATATTAGTGGACGCTGGATTTACCTTAAGTCGAATATTGTCAAAAAATAGATTATACGCCTTTTTCGAACCATCTAAGTATATCAAAAGCTCAAACTAAAGTTCGACATTTCATCACTCAATGTGAATATATCTATTAGCATAATTTCGATCGCTATCTATAATCAACTATAAATTTATCCAATATTGCTGACAGGCCAACAGACACGCTACCAACAACAAAGTCGCCACGCAGCGCCGCCATTAGACGCTTGTCTACAAACCAACTTTTTGCAACTCAAACATACATACATCCACTTCCACTCATCAGACACCGCCACTTGAGGCGCTGAGCACACCAAACAAGGCGGTAGGCAGTGCGCAGCCGGCATTCAACAGCTTTACCATTTTCGCAATTCCTACAAATTGGGTTAATTACTCGCTTCGTTTGAAAGGGTGCTCCAGCCACATTTGCATTTTCCACAGCAGCGTTTATAAACTCAACTTTTGTTGTATTAATTCTAGCATCTCAAATGATTTAAGCGCCAATTTTGGTTGTGACATTTGCGTAAAATGTAATGGTTTTGATTACAATGCACTTGCCATGGCCAATCGGGGCCATATCGAATTGCTATTAGGCGCTAATGTGGAGGCAAATGCCGCAAACATCGATCTGTCAACCGCAAAACCACACACATGTTCACATCTACAACTTCATCATGCAGCAGTCTTCATTCGTCATTTTAATGCCAATATTTATGGTTAAACGCTAAGCTATCAATTTACGAGCCAATTTTAGCGTGGCGCTTTGAGAAAATCATCGACTTATTGGGCGGTTTAAATACTAGCACAATTATTATAATAAATACTATTATCATAAACAATTTTTTCGTCTTTTAAAAAATGCATATTATTTGACGTAATTTATGAGCCGGCGCCGTCGCAAATAAAGTGCTAATTACTGCGTAGAGCTTACATACGTTTCTTCGCTGAAACGATACTCACATATACGAGCTAGAAGCATTTTTAATGTTTTTAATAATTATAATATAACATAATAATTATATTTCCAGCTTTTTTTAAAAACAATGAGCAAACTTCAAACTTGGGCATATACTCAGAAAAAATTATCAATAACGGGAAAGACTTACAATCCCCTAAGTTTTTTCCGTTATTGGTCATCTTTTCACTATCATCCACTTGTGAATTTCAAAATTTGATTTATTTTTTTGAATATACATATATCGAATGTCCATACTATATTTGAAAATAATCTCCAAAAATTTGAAACTAATACGGCAAATAGTAAAAATAATAGCGCCTATTTGTAAGAAATTTTTAAATGTTTTTTTTTTTATTTTGAAACGCTGTTTGTAGAGTCAATCAGCAAAATTTCTTCAAAACGGCTGAGCTAGTTGACTTGAAATATTCACACGACCCTCTTAGATATATTTGTCAGACAATGATTATAGAAATAAGTTTTTTGATAATAATTTCGGTTATTAAGCGCTACTTAAGTGTAAATTTTGTCACAGTAACCGACTTTTCTTCGGGAAGCTGCCATTTTCTCAAAAATCTAAATTTTGTCCACTCCTTCAATCATTCCTAAAGATCGACTACAATATCAACGGAATACAAAATTTTTCAAAATCAATTACCGTTTGTTATTGTAAAATACATTAAATTCAATAAAGGTACATTCTTCTTAATTATTTATTAAATAAAAGGCGTCTTAAAAAAAATTCACAAAATACAAATTTTTACTGACTTGCAAGTGTATATATAACTTCTTAAGAGAATGGTTTCATGTTCACTTATGTTCATGTACGTTGTTATAATGAATATCTTAAAGTAGTTGCAGGTTTTACTTAGGATTTCTTAGACCACGTGGGTCAAATAGATTTGTAGATCTCTAAGATATACTAAAGTTGTCTATATTCGATCTAACATATGTATGTTCCAAACAGCCGACAGAAACTTTGTGCAATAATACCGTTTTTGGAAACGGTATTTAATGTGTTAATATGATATATTATTTAACAACAGCAGTTTGGTACGAGTTCTACATTTCAAAGCTGAGATATATTTATGAATATATGGTAAGTTTTCAGACCTATAAGAAGATATTTGCACAGCTACATATGGTATATGTCTGCTCAAAACATACAAGATATATTTATTAAAATTCCTTAATGCGAAAATGTATAACTAAGTTCGGCGTGCACCAAAAGTAACCAAGAAGCTCAAGCTCAACGCTACGAAAGCAAATTAAATAATTATCTACAATTTAAAATAAATATATATTTTGAGAATTTTTTCATTTCCCTCTGCACTAACTCATAAGTAGTGGAGCAATGAGCGCTGTTTAACACCGCGGCATTATTAACACCTCCGACGCATGGACATAACATAGGCATATGCCATAAATAAAACCGAAAGCACACCGAAAAGAAATTCAACAACCGAAACTAAGCTAATTTTAATAAGCTTGTTTGGCTTATTTATTAGTTGAAATTTTGAAGAAGATTAACTTAAAAGTGTTACAATATAAAGAGCATATGCAAATCAGGCTTAAAGATGGGAAAAAAACCAATATGAAAGCTTAATTTTTTATGAATAAAAAATATTTTGTCTAGTTATGAATATGGCATTTAATGCATTTACTTTGCGCCATAAGTCGTGCAGATGATTTGGATGAATGAAAAATTAAATGAGCATAAAAATGCAAATTTCTCAGTTCCACAAAAAGCCTACAGCTACATAAATATAGTATATATCTATACATACATATATAAACTCATAAATATTTAGTGCTGCTTCTTTCCATTCGCACTCAACTCATTTTATTAGATATTTATGTTATATGCATAATTTTGTTAACCGAAATCGTTAAAATAATTTAAATAAAAATTAGCTATAGCCAAGTAAATCAATTCAAATTGTTACTAATACAAAAGTATTCTGTGTGGCCTGCGCCTACACACGGACACTAGTTGGTAAACAATATTTTATGGAAAAAAAATCAACGAATTATTATTTAATTGCCGCAATTTTCGTGTTTTTCCCATAAAAAATCAATTTTTTTTTTAATTTTTAAGCAATACTAACTATTTGTATATTATATTTGCATACATTTATACTCTTTTATTTTCTTTATAAAACTAATCCCACAAACCATTTTGGCAGCCACCAACTTTTCGAAACTCTCTGCTCGGTTGTTAGTAGTTAAACTAATCTAAATACGACAGCTTATATCGGGCTGAGTGATTGAAATCTGCCGCTCAGATGCGTTATTAAGCGCGGCTTAAACGTATATGCTACAAATATTCGCTTATGGAAAGGCTTATAAGACACTTTAAGTTAGTAAAGTTAGTTGTTATTACGCTTGGCATAGTTTGCAAATTCGCTATGGTGGCTTATGAGTGGCAGACTGCTTATATATGTATATTATTTGTCTAACAGAAACTAAAAAACTAAAATTTTTCTTTTCGAATCAGCGTGTTTTCGTACTATTGGCTGCCTCTAAAGAAATAAGAAGCAGAAATTTCGAAATAAGGCACAAATAGTGACATAGTTTCGATACGAAAATTTTGGTTTGAAGTCAATATAAACAACTTTTTCCAAAAGTGTTAAAAATATCAAAATCCTAACACATGAGTCCTGAGTACTTAGTAAAATACTCAAAAAATATATATATTGTTTTTTTTATTTTTACGCAATCATACTGCCTATAGGCTACTAAACATATTACTTTAAGAATTTTTAGCTTATTCTCTCCCCTTTTAAATACCCCGTTTTATATCTGAAATGCATTTGAGTAAAAAATATTTGCACAGATGCAACAGAACGTCACACTGCACATATTTCTAGGTGCTTATGTACATAATAAACACCGCAATATGAGCATATTCATAGATATTCAAGTATTGTGTTGCATTTGTATGCTTTCATCTTTATTTTGTATTTATTTACAAAGTGCAACATACTTTACAATAAACTAATTGTTGAACGTTAACTGTATTTCGTTGAACATTTACTGAACAATGATGAACAGTTGGAAAAAGTGAGCGCAAATAAAATTTCTGAAATTTACGCGAAAAGCTCACCAAAGTTATAAAACCCTTCACAGGTAAGTTTTTTATAGCATAAAAGGGTATAAAATGATCATTATCTTGATTTTGAGAGGCCAGTTTGTATGGCTGCTATAAGTTATAGTATTCCGATCTGAACATTTTATTTGGAAATCATACCACTTTCCTGGACATTAATCAATGAGGAATTTCGTGAAAGTATCATATCAAATAAAAAAGCTTTTCATACAAGAACTTGATTTCGATCGCACAGTTTGTATGTGAGCTATATGCTTTAGTAGTCTGATATTAGTGGTTCCGACAAGTGAGCATTTTCTTAGCACGAAAAGGATGTATGCAAAATTTCAGAGCGATATCTCAAAAACTGAGGGCTAGTTTGCGTATATACAGACGGACGGACCGACAGACATGTCTAAATCGAAACTGTTTGGGTTTAAAAAAAGTGCAGTTCTCATTGACTTTTCAAAATACAAAAATTATAGTAAATACGCTGCATACACAACACTGAGAATAAAAGAAAAATTCCTCGCCGCCGTAAAATTTTCTGCTGGGCATGTCTGTACTGTATTGGCTGTGACATTTAAGTGTCAGTACGCACATGCACACACACATACACACAGATAAACGCACTTGGCGTTCTCATTGTTGCAATTTATCTGTTCGATAGCGAAAACATGACAACAATAAATACAATAACAACGCAAAGAGTGGTGCATAAAGGGAGCATATAAATAATCGTAACATAATTGCCAATAAGGTGGAACAAATTTCAATTAACTGTTGACATGTCTGCTACTGACAATGCCAAACTCAAAAACAACAACAACAAACATAGTGATGACGAAAGTAATATTTTGGAAAAAAAAACTGCACCAGTCAAATGGCAGGGGGAACCCGAATGAAATTGACACTAAATAATTAAGAAATGATTACTCGAATTATAGCCTTAGAAGATATATGTATACAAAATCACGACTTTAATTTGTCGAAGAAAAATATTTTATTATTACAATAGTATTGATGCATATTTACGAATTATTTTTAGTTCTTGCAAAAAATATTTTATACAAATTTTATGTTTTCTTCTTTCTTCTTAATCCGCCACTTAATTTTTTTTTTTTTTTAATCATTACAACTATTTTAAAAACCTTATAGAAAACTTTTTATTGTAAAATGGTTAGCATAAAGATTTTTCTTTTCTAGTATAAAAAAAAAAATTATTCACTTTATACACATTTTTTATACCGCATTTACCACTCATTCCTTTCAACTTCTATTTTACATTCTTCAAAGTTTTTGATAGAACTTTCCATTATTTAAATTTATAAAATTCTTTTCGATCGTAACCCAATTCTGAAATAGCACTAAATTCCTTCCATACGCTTTGCTTTAGTTTTGTCAATTCACCACAACACCGCAGACACATTTCTTTCAATTGAGTTACTCTTCCTCAATCAAATCACTGTCTAATCTAATCAAATCAATCAACACACATCACATGTATAAAATCTATTAAATAGTTCTCTATCAATCAATCACATGAACTATCGCTCGCGCTATACTTTGCTCAAAAAAATAGCTTTGGAACTGCACCATCGCCGCCGCGCCAACACAAACACTACAAAATTTCGAAATTACCGCCAAAATAAATTTGCTTTTCAAAAAATACTCTCCAAATACACGCCTATTCGATTCCGCACAGCGAAAAGCACACACGTCCAGCACGCGCTAGTCTCGTTTTGATATTGAAATTGAAAATCGCTTGTTTCTACGATCTAGCCAATCTAACCAACCTAGGCGCTCAGCGTCAGCGGCGCTGTAGAATGCTTAGCCGTGCGGTAGACTGGTAAACGCCGCAGTCGCTGCTATCACTACCAAGCTGTTCGCATTACACGCACAGACGTTTAACAACTTTTGCACACCTTCGCGCCTCGCTGCCGCAGCGGCGGCAGAGCGAAGCCAAGCGTTCGAATTTTGGTTTACGCACACGATGCACAATCAGTTCACTTGATCAGTCGTTCAATCGCGCGCGCGCTCGGCGTCTCAATTTGGCGCTAGGCAGTAAATGAAGCTCTAATGCTTGTCTAATGAAGGCATCTTAAAGGCAGCTGTTTGTTGTTTTTGCCAGCCATTTGAGCGCGCATGGGTAATAAAAACATACCCTTAGCTGGCTGCTGACTCAGCGCTGATCTTACCACTTGTTTTTATAGATGCCAAGTGCATTTTTATTTATTTTTTTGAAATTTTATTATATTCTTTTTTGCAATTTTGAAAAAATTTATAAAATTTTATTTATAAACATTTGGAAATATTGTTGAAATTCATAACAGATGTGCATTATGGCAAATTAAAGTCAATCGCAATCGCAAGCGCAAGCATATAAATAAGCTCGTCAATTTGTCATATGTCACTATTTTAGTGAAACTTAATATTAATTTCCACTTTGCCACATTCACTTATTCAACCGTTTATTTAGCTTTAAACAAGCGATATTAAAAAAATTATAGTAATCTCCAAGCACTCAGATTAACAGCTCTCGAGGTAACTCTGAACCTCCTTCGAGCTTACTCCTTCCCCTTTTTATTTTTATTATATTCGAAGCCTTGGAAATAAGAACTCTATACAATATTGTTAGAAGTTAAGCCGAGCTTCTACTTCACTATGGAGTGTGTTTTGATATTGGCTGCTTTATGGAGAACCCTAACAGTAATAACACCCCTCGAATCACTTTTTTATTACTAGAAAACTTTTCTTTCCAGCAGAATACACTCTACACATAGTCACAAGCCGCTAATTAATAGTAACGCCCTTAACACATTAGGTTGCGATTGCTACGTACACATTCATATATACTCGTATAATGTATCGGTGGAGTTCATTGTGCGTACGAAGAATGCCGCAGTTACACAGTTTGTGGTTTAGTGACTCACATTTTTATTAACAGAACACCAATGGCAAATATCATTAATAAAAAAAATGGATTTTACAATAACAATAATATTTTTCTCTAGGAGATGTGGTTTCAACCCGGCTGATATAGAAATATATATATTTTTTTGTTGATCATCTATTAAACGGCGGAGGATTGGTCTTATTAATATTTTTAACTAATTAGTTAAGCTAGTTAGTTAAACTACACCCATATAAAGTTAGCCTTTAGGCTCTCAAAGAAATTTCTTCTAATTCAGTGCTGGCTGTAAGAGTATATTGATGGTTTTCATTAAGGGAAGGAATTAAGTCATTCGCAGCTTACTTTATACATGTATAAGTATATATTTTTTTTTGAATTTGGTATATTATCATTTTGAGCCAAGCTCCTTCTGCAGACAAACAGTTAGTACCAAGTTGTAAGCAAACAGAAACTCCCACGATGGTGTCGCACTTCTGAAGAGTTAAAAGAACTCATAAACTACAAGAAATTAAAAAAAATCAACCACCGATCTGTTAACCAAACAACAACAAAATTCTGTTTTTCATGTATTTATGTGCATCCAGTTAAGGTAGACGAACGAGAGTGAATAAGTAGCAGCAGAGCCAACTTAAAACCTCATAAAATTGCTGCACTGACTTTTGTCGATAAGAGTTTGAAGGTGAAGAAATAATTAACAGGGCATGAAAGCGAAAGCTACTTGTGGTTATATATGGTTTACTAAATGCCATATATATGTGCATGTGTATGTGTGTATTGGTATGTTACTGCCACTTTATCTATCACAAAGATATGGGTGCCGGCACTTAATGAAATGCGCTGCCGATGCTGGAAATGCGACAGCAGCGAATAAAAATTTATTGAGCAGATGAGTCAATTATTTCAAGAAGCTGATAGTCTGTTTGAGCCAAGCAAAAATATGGTAAAATTATATAATAAAACAGTATTTAGATATTAATGGATTCTCATATAAATGTGGACACATTTTTAATATTTATTTGTGGAATGTCGGGCTGCCAGAAGTAGTCAATTAGACGGGTTTAAAAATATACATATAAAATTGAATAGAGAACAAATTAACAAAAACTTGTCCAATCGATCCTCATATTTCTAAAAAATTAGCCATACTTCACACCTTTGCTAGATGTTATGTCGAACCTCTCTTGAATTCGTGATGTTGGTTTTATTCGAAAAGTTTTAAACTGACTCCATAGTCCTATTGGATTTTACGAGAAGCTTTTAAGTAGTAGAAATCCACTTTTATTAATAACTTGATGTTGTTGTTGCTATAACGGGTATATTGAACCTGTTTAAGTTAAAACGTTATTAGCTGCACTGGTAATGACGCTCAGTGCGTGTTCGAAGTCCATTGCATCCGTAGTCTGGTCGGCAAAGTCTGCAATGCATTCTAATAGAAACTGCTTGGACACGAGGCTCATTTTATTCCTTAACCGGAAACATGCGGGTCTGACTTGATCATGTCAGATGCGTTGGTGATTGAACCCAGCTACGGCACCTAGGCCATGATGTTTCTCAACTGTATCTTACAAAAAGAAACGATCTCGTTATCAAACCCAGAGTCTATTAGCTTACTCTAATTTCTTGCAATTTGCGAAGTTTTTGTAAAAAATAATATATACTCAAGAAAACAATAGTCAGAAGAACTAGCAGTTTTTATACCTAGACCCAGACGATCTCACTGTAAATGTAAATGCTGTGCAAGTATTTACACATTTATTGTTTTGAAATCAAGAAGCTTGCATTTGAAATTCACCTTGTTCATCAAGACACAAACACCTAAATATAAAAGCGCTCTAGCGCACTACTTTTGCGGCTTTTGAAATTGAATAAAAATCGAAAACGATTAAAATGCAATCAAGCAGCAAAGCAGCAACAAAGGTGACGACAAAAGCACCTTCGATATGACTGCATATTTCGTAGGCATTTGTCATCAGCAGACAACCCCTGCAAAGTACTTAAACCGCAAAACGGCTTATTATGCTCGCCTCGACACATAATGTCTGCGCGCACATACACACATACACACGCACGAAAGATTTCTTTTAACTCGAATGCGCAATAGTCGGTGTGTTTGTTTGCCGCGAGTTGTGTGTGGCATACATTGAGGCGTTGATGCAATAAAAATCTGCGGTTGAATCACGTAATTTGAGTTGTAGCGCAAGATATTTTATTGATTTATTTATCTGTACAACAAAATATGGGTCAAATGGTTAAGCAGCTTGCATGTTATTGTTTATATGTGCCTTGGCGCTTTTCATTTCCTCAAACGAAATGGCTGGCAAACACTTTCCATTCCACTTGATTTGATTTGCGAGTGCGGCGAAATTGACAAGCGCTCACACCGCTGTGGCAAATTATGCAATTGGAAATGATTGAAAACAGCTGCAGTCAGTACAAGCGCGCTTGGGGAGTTTGTACTTGTGCGAAAAAGAAGTTTTCTATTCACTTGCTCACAGAAGTACATATGTGAGGCATACGTGCACCTAAATAAGGAACATTTGTTGCAGTGCCATAAATATACAGACTTATAGTTAAATAGAGAAAATTCTTTCCACTTTGAAAACTCGATTGCTTTCCATTTAGAAGTTTGTTTGGGTAGGCACTTAACGAGTGCATAAATAGTCGCGGTCACGGGGCTCTTCAGAGGCGGGAGACTGCTCATTTTAGTGAAGCAACATTAATTTTAAACAGTTAGGTTAGCTATTCCTCTGCGAGAATTGAAGTGGCGGTGCCATCGTTTTTATGTATTTATAAAAACTTTTTCGCTGTCGACTTTTTTTTGTATTTTCTAGAGTAGGTAGTAACATGAATAAATGAAAATATTGAACAATGCAATATTAACAAAAAATTAAATATGAATAGCAATTTTCAGCGCGTTCTGCTAAGCATTTAATATTTATCTCCAGAAACAAAAAATTTATTTCAAAAAGGCAATGTTGCCTGCTGTTAATAACAGAGAAGTTGATTCGTGATCGTTTGTGATCACAGCAAAACATTTTAAACAGCATTTACATTAACATTCTCTATTTGCAGCTCCATGTTAACGCACAGCAAACAATTTTGCTGTTATGGAACAGTCGAATAAATTCTGTACCGCTAATTGCAGCAGCAGTTTACATTAATAGATTTAACACCAATTTTGAGGGAAGCAAGTATGTTACAGTCGCCTAGAAGTATGCTATAAAACTAATTTATGTTTTTAATTATGGAAAATTGTATCACTAGTAGAGGAATTCACACCTTTAATGTTATGTGTAATAAAATTTAAGCTTTCCTATTTATAAATAAATATTTAATTATAAACATATTTTCGTTTTTTTTTTAACATTTTTCACCAAAATGGATTGAGGGAAATTATATAACACTAAAAATCGCGATATATAATAAGTGAGATAGCAACACAATTTTATTCAATTCATTCTTTTTTTTTTAATTTCTAAGCTCGGGACGACCGGGACGCTTAACTCAGAATCCAGACTGTTCCGGCCAAACCGGGACGAATGGTCAGCTAACTCTAAACTCCTTTTAGTGGGTATTATTTTTACTAAACCTTCAGTAGTCGAGTTGTATGGTTTTATTAAAAAAATTGTATTTAGTTTTTTACACTCACCTTGCACACACCCTCCACACACATCGCCCGCTGCCTATAATTTGAGCGATAATATTCGGCTGGACGATAGCACGGTGTACCATCAATCACCGACGAGTTCAGTGTGGCAAAGTATTTCATACCCTTTGGCTTGCAATTCAGCTCACATTCAGCATCCTCTGGTAGTAAGGAAATTAAAAGGAAATTAAAGTTTAGAAGCTAAACGGCGACTAAAGTAAGCATTTAAGCTTATATATACACAATTAGCAGCTAAAAACAAAAAATAGCACAAATTAATGCATATTTAATATTTCGAAATATATAAAAAAAAGGTTTGCTTTAATGAAAAAAAATAATAAAAATAAGTTTTTGAAAATATTTTCGTTATTAATTTGTTAAAATTTTGAGTAAACAATATATATTGCGTTACGCCAAGAGTTTGTTATTATTTAAGGAATCAAAATTATAACTTTAATCAATTGCAAGCAAAAAAATTGCGTAAGTATGTAATTTTTAATTGATAACTCTTTATTTATAAAAAACATCACTTTATTTCTCGTATACACCAACCTTTGATATATGGCTCCCACGTGTATTTTTGTCCCTGAAAATCGACCTCATTGAAAGTGGCACATTGCACAGCGCGAAAATCTGCAAGCGCAGCAGAGCAAGGCTATGGAGAGATCAGAAGGAAATTTACTCGAATAAATATATGGTAAGCAGATACAGTTATAAGCCAACAACTGATTAAACACATTTATGGGTAAATTACGCATATAAATAAAAGTGCAAACATGCAGACATGTATAAATATATGTGTGTATATGTATATATGTGTGTATATGTATACATATGCATGTGTGCATGTATTTATGCATATATGTATGTATATAAGGCAGTATGATAGTGCAGGCGGTACATGACCGCTCCAAATACCTGCTCGTTGCAGATGTGATAACGCCTGTAGACGCCAATGCACGCATTGCTGATATAACGTTTGCCGGTCGAGGAGTTGCTATGGGAGGAATAAAAGAGTAGAAGAACATTAAATGGGTCGAAAACTACTTGCAAAAAGACTACACAAAGATAATGTAAACGGACAGTAAGGCAATAAGTAAAAAAGTATGTTTGGGTAGGAGTAACTTTTTGAAAATTACATATAAAGTTTTTGTTTATCTGTAAATAAAGATAGCTATATATATTTGGAGTTTCATGAATACATAGCGCTTATACATATATACATCTCTATATATGTCTATCGATATATTTACATATATATATGTATATCAACAGTGGAACCTTGAAAATCTGCGTATGCATAAAATTCGCAATTTTAATTAAACTGAACTCTGAATGAACTTCAACGAAGACACCACATGAACACACACATTTAATTTTATGTGACTCAAATTCACAGCTCATTGTCTCGCACAGTAGCAGGCATTTATTTATTATTTTATAGCTTTATATTTATTTCTTTACTTTCAATTGACCCATTGACGCACACACCAACACATAGACACCACCCATGCCTTTTTATATAGTATTCGCGCTTTGCAAAACTTCTGACTCTGGCAACGTTGGGCGCTTGGAAACACACTTGAGATAGCAAACAGTGAATGAACACACACACACATATCTCTTATATAAATGTGCCACATCTTTGTATCTAAACATTTAATAAAGAGTAAATAGACGCACAAAAGTTTAATGACAAAACTTAGCAGCAAATTTGCACTGCTACTAACGCTAACGGCAATGGAATTAAAGAATTCGCCGGAACAACGCGGCGCCAGCGCTGATGGGAAGAATTTTAGCGAGAAATGCGCAATCAGACAGACAGACAAGAGCGCACTTGATAGGCAGATGTGGAAACGGCTGCTAAGCGGGCCGCAGAAAACTAGAAAACATATAGTGTTCGACACTTATGTGTCTGTCCATATACTTCTGTGGAGAGGAATATCTATTAGTAAGTTGCGCATACGCCCTGTAGTGTTTGAAGCCAGACAGCAACGCTAATGAGTAATAATTTATCAAAACAAATAATAGTTTAATCAATATGTGTAAGCAAATGTTTATACAAACACATATGCAAATTTATATATTTTTTATCTAATTATATACAAACTGCAAGTATAACATAGCGCTTAGTTTCCTCTGCTATATTTCCAATGCAGTTAATCATAAATATTCGCAGAATTTCTTATATGTACCTCATTTACTCGCATCATTCGCTGTTAAATAATTTAATACTATTTATATTTAGCAATTTTGTTTTTCTATTATTTTTTTTTTTTTTTTTTTTGATATACATATTTTTAATTTTTTCATTTCTTTATTTTTTATTCTTCTCTTGCATATTTTATCTTGTGTTGTCCACAGAATGTCAAGTGTAATTGAAATTGAAGCTAAGCGCCGACAGCCAACAGCCGGCAACCGCCTGCCATCACTAGCTTGCATTCTTACTATACATTGTGGCATTGGCCACAGCTGCTCACTGTTGACACAAATTTCTAGCTATTTTATATTTATTAGGCATAATTGGTGGGAATATAAATTCAAAGCGATCGACAATTCTCGTGAATATAGATTAAAAAAACATTATACACATACATATTTACATATGAAAATTTCAAATAATATGTTATTTTAGAAGAAATATTTGAGTAGAATTTCCGTGTATGCGTATCTACGGAAAATTAGCACAACCTGAATTCAATTTTTCAAATGCTAAAAACCGCGAAAACTTTTTCAAATTAGTGTGACACGTATTTCCGGTCAATTTGTCTCATTTGAAGGACACACCTAGTAAGAAATTTTGAAAAAAAATTATTTTATTTTTATGCAAATTTTGCTTCTAGTAGAAAGTTTGTTTTTTTAGTTTTTATCCGGAGAAGGCGGAATCACTGCAGCTGTGGAGTTCGTATTTTTTTAGCGCCGTCGGAGATCGCGTGTCATTCGGAAAATATTCAATTTTTAAACTTTTCTTAAGAATCTTAACTGTGTATTAATAAAGTGTATATGAAAACACAATTTAATTTTTTAAACAATTGATATAGCAGTTTTTTTTATTCCATAAAATCATATTTATCGGCTGTCATACTCGATATGCCCTCAAAACGATTTACTTTCTAATTTAAAATTGATAATTTAGACTTAAGGCAAACCTCGCAGATTTTGTACGACTAAAATATGTTATTTTCAATGAAACCAGCCTTGGACCGGAACTGGCGCCAAGTGATTACTCCCAGTTCCTACCAATAGCAAATGATTTTGCTGGTGAAAAATTTGTCACAAGAGAAGCTTGTGAAAATCGACTGTTAACACCACCACTTACGTGCTACTTCAACTCCGCGTATATGTTAATGAAATAAGAATCGTATGGTTTTTAGTTTGAAAAATATTCACAAACTTTATTTCCTTTTTTTTAAATATTTACAAGGATTAGCTCAATGCACTCCCTGGTCGCATACCAGTGGAGAGGTAGTAAAAAATATTGTGCAATACAAATTGCAAGTGTATAAAAAGATGGTTGATAGCCGGAATGAATTCACGCGCGCCAAAGAAATGGTGTTTTTTACTCGACCGTCGCTGGTAGAAGGGCCGTCCGCTTCGAGGACAGATATTTTTGTACTGTGTGTTGTGTAGAGATCCTAGTCGGTGTGTGTGTGTGTGCAGCTGTATGATGAGTTGTGTGGGTGTTCTGCGGTTTCCAGGTGTGGTGTGTGTGCTAGTGTTGCATTGTGTGTGGTGTGTTTGAGTTCTTCGGGGCGGGAATCTTAACTCATCGACTATTCCAGTTTTTCGGCAATAAGGTTGAGGATTTCTATGAGCATTATGAAATTTTCTTCGAGATAGCAGCAAGTTATCGGACACAACTTAAAACCTTAAATTTTATGCAAAAACAATGACTTACTTCTTACAAAACCTTATATAATTTAGTATTTTGCAGGAATTAAACATTTCTAAGTAATTCATAACCGGCCTTTTCTTTTTTGCGTCCTTGAGTGTATATTCTTGGGACAACCACCTCTGACCTCAAATAACCTATTTTTAAAACACCATGAGAAAATTGTAATCGCACCTCTCTCTACAAATCTATTTATAAGTGTCTTACACATAAAAACATATAAATATATATTAAAGATTTTTAGTTCCTATAAACGCATGTTGCATGCGTAGTGTTGTAACTACTACAAAAATAAAAAAAAATTGTACTATAATGACTAAAAAATACCCAACTAGCAAATCATTTGCTGCTGATAAGGACCAAATGCAAATATGTGCGTATGTATGTATATATGTATGTATGTGCAGTACGATCATTATGGGGCGCCGTAAGTTCTACATTTCTCGTTCCATACTGATCTCATCACAATTCAATATTTACATAAGCCTATATGTATGTATGACAGTATGTAAGTGCATGGTTTTAAATTAAAAGGCGTACTTTTTTAATATATTCACTTGTATTTATATATAATACGCGTATGTATGTAAATATTTTATATTTATTGTTGTATTTATGTCTTCCAAGTACATAGTTCAGCACATCAATAGTATTGTAAGTTAAGCGATAACTCAAGCCATGCAATTCCATGTATTTTATATTTATATATAAACTTATATATAATTGTAGAAATCGATTTTAGGTATTGCAAAATTTATATTTCATTATAAAACGCAATTCAGTTTCGAAACAACTGCGAACGCGAGTGGATTTTTCTCCAGAAAATATATCAGCCGCTGCTTTAACTAAGCGTTTTGAGGAAGAACTTAATATTAAACGGTTATATAAATATCGAAAAAAGTCGAAAACGATGGCTAATATATTACAAAAGTTGTTGTTGAGTGTTTTGCTGTTGCACCAGGTAAAGCAGCTGCACGTGACACATAAATATTAGCTTATTATTTAACAAAACTACTTTTTGTAAATAAAAACTATAGCTTAATCGCTAAGAGAAGGTGATGCTCAAACGGGTGAAAAAGTGATTTATGTAGAACTGTATTATTTTATTTGATAAAAGTTAAAATTTTTCGAGCTCTGTTCATTGCAAAAATTTACATAAATTTGACTTTTTAGTCCAAAATCAAGCTGAGAGCAAATTGTGCAATTAAACAAATAAATGTGGGCAAAATAAATAATTAACATTTTTTTTTTAATTCTAAACAATTTAGTACAAAAAAAAACTTTTTTTTTAAAAAACTTAACCACAAACATTTTTCAAAAAATTTAAGTAAATAATAATAATTTAGGTAAGTTTAATAAGTTTTAACGTCAGGTCATGCTTGGGTGATGTATACTCAAAAAAATTTTTTCAAAAAATTTAACGGCAGATATTTTTTAATATTGTAAATTTAACTATATAATAACAATTTTAGTAAATGTTAATGCCAGGCTATGCCAGAAAATATATCCTTAAAAGAAAAATAAAGTATAATATTTTTTTATATACATCAAAATGTTTTTCAAACAATTTAACATTAGATATTTTTTAATTACATTTAGCTAAATAATAATTAATTGAGTAAGTTTAATTAAATTTAACGTCATATGCTTGAGAATATACCCAAAAAGACAGAAAAAAGTAGTAGTAAGAAAAATTTTGAGAGTGACATCGAAAATTTTTAAATATTTAATAACCCACTGAATAAATGAATGAATTGCTGAATAATTGGAAAATATTAAAAATACTATAAGAGTTATTAATTTAAAAAAAATTTTAAAAATCTAAATCCATATTTTTTTCAAAATTTTTCAAAAATATTTTACTAAAAATTAAAAAGTTTCAATAAAGCTAAATCTGATCCATATTAAAAAAAATTAACAGAAATTATAAACAAATTTCTTACTGGCTATTAAAAAATTTCAATATTTATTACAAATAGTTTTCGAAATTTCGAATGTAAGTAAAATTAAAATTTTAAATAGAGTTGTATTGACCACATATTATTTATTTAAGATATTTTTCTATAAATCCAATATACTTACATTTACTATACTTCAAATTTGCAAAAAAAAACAACAAACAACAAAAAATAATGTTTACAATAATTGTTTTGACTAACTGCTCATATGCATGCAAATTAATACGTATACGATTAAACAAAAACAACACATTTACGCAATTTAATTAATCGCATTTGTACCACCCATATTTTGTCTTGTCAGTTCACACGCTCGACCGCCTTCCTCATACCACGCGATCCCGACTGCACAAATAGCGATAACGAGACAATCGAACCCAGCGAGAAATGCTCATCAATGCTGCACTTTCAACGCAATCTCGGTAAATATCGCAACTTCTTCGCCAATCTGCTGCAGGAAGAGAACGAGCAATTCGCGGCCGAACTGCAGGAACTTTACAACTTAGTGAGCTCGGCGCTGGTGGAACACGACTACAATGAGATGCAGCGGCAATTTTTCTACTCCGTTTGGCTGGTTGAGCGCACCAAAGACCTGGAGGATTATTTGAATATGAAGGGTTTCCGAAAAATATAGGCAAACCAGTAGAATTTAAAAGATTTTTTAAAATTACTTGTATGAATTTAGTTGGTTTCAATGTTTGTATGTATGTTATATACACTCCGATTGTGTTTTCTTCAGTTACCTATACAAATGCTCTGATAGGAAATGGAAAATGTTTTTCTAAAAGTTTGCTGCGCTCTTCGATTCACATTTTTTATATTTATTGTTCGTTAATTTAGTATAATTATCTTTTACTTAAATAGTATTATTATGGGTGTTGCAAATATGTTATAACAATAAATAGTAGGCTTAATATAAATAAACTCAATTACTTCCTCAATTACCACTCAAGCGATATATCGGAATAAAATTAAGAAAAAATTTAGATGGTATTTTATTAGCAACTTTAAAGGAACATGAAACTAAGCGAAATTACCACTCGTTAAAAAAAAAAACATATAAAATAAAACGACGCTATTTATCTTTGAAGCACAGAACAACCTTGTTAATTCCGATTTTGAGACTTTTTTTACTTGTTTCAAACTTTGCACGATGTACAAAATACAGCGCGTCCAGCTTTTCTGACGCCACCATAGCAAATATTACCGCTCTCTTTAACCTAAGATTTATTTCTCGTTTCTTTGTACATATGAAAACATACTCATGTATTTGTGTGAATAATTTCTGGTCAATATGAAGAGTAAGTATACTTAAAAGTGTACCCAATCAGTCCTTCATAAAATATTGTACTTTAGTTAGCTTGTTTAAACGAGAAAACTTTGTTGTGTACTGGTTGACCTTATTAAACGAGAAAAGTACACACATATCCATAAATTGCCATTTTTCGTTATACAACTTCCTTTTGTATGGTTTTTATTCAAGTTTTCGTGCAAGTTGACTTAAGCACTTTCTTAGATTAACCACTGAAAACAATAAATATACAATTGCGTCACCTACTTGGTTGAAATAATAAACTGATACGCCAATATTTATATTTTATTGGAAAATTTTTGTAATTCCTACATTCAAATAAATATATATACATGGCAAATGTCTCATATATATATATTTGTATTCAATTCACTTAACACATTGAGTTTGTAGTTGTATTTTTTTTTTTAATTATTTAATTTAATTACTCCAAATAAATGCACACCGATTTTCACACAATATTTTCGAATATTTTTAACACATTGAACACAAAATTGCTAAACCGCACTTTTACTGTCCAAATCGATCAAACTGAAATTCCAGTACCTTATAATCCAAATATCGCCGAAATTTCGTCGTCAAATCATCAAAACTATCTAGCACCTCCATCTTTGGCTTGAGATCCGCACTCATCAGCGCCGACTCTACAACATTTAATGCATCTTTTAGTATTGCGGCGAAAGACGCAGCATCTTCCTGCTTCTGCAGATAGAGCAAAAACTCCTTAAAAAACTTCAGCTGCACATTGAGCACCGCTTCCTCCTCTGGTTCAGCGTCGATCAGCTGCCACAATGCCGTCGAAAATGTCTCCTGTATACCGGTGAAAGCAGCATATTTCTGGTCGAAGTCATCAATCTTCACAGCACTCTCATAAGCTGGCAAGACCTTTTCAATTTCCTCAGCCAATGGACCGCTTACCTCCGTCATCAGCGTGCGCATGCTCCACTCTTGTACGCGTATGTCCTCGTTGAGGAATTGCTCATCGTACTGCAGATTTACATAAGCCATAAATGCCTGCCGTTGCTCCCCTTCGTACTCTAGTAGCTGCTTCTCCTCGACTAGAGGATCCTCGGCATTGGCGGCTTTTAAGTAACGCGCCAGCAGTTGCTCCAATTCGATGGCATACTTTTCGTCGACGTCCTGCTGAATGCGCGCAAGCCGACGTGCTGTGTAGCTTAGGTGACTGCTGATTTGCGACTTCAGTTCGTCCACGTCCACTTCGGCTGTATTGGCGGCGATGCACAACTTAGTAGGAAGACACTTTTTTCTCAATCTAGTTTCATATAAGTTTCATTTTCTTCATACCTGCAATGCGAGGATTATTTGAAGATTGATCAGCAGCAGCTTTAGCCAAAGCATTGTGTTCACTTAACTTTCTATTTGCGAAGCTTATTGCTTACTGTTGGTGTTGAGGCACTCAAGCGTCTTAAAGTGCGTTTGGCGTGCATGCAACCCAATTTTATTGCGAGTTACACGGTAAAAACTTATTTTAAAGTCATTTAAATCTTTCTTATAAGAAAATCACATTAAAAGAATATTCAACAAGTGCATAGGTCTATTTCGGTAGCTAAGTTATTACTGACTGGCAGCATGCAAATGCAATTAAACGCCAACTTGGTTCTTCTCACTCGCAGACCGAGGTCTGTATTAATCATTCTTCATTTCAATTTATTTGTTTGGAATTTTCAATGACAATTGTAAGAGCAATGTACTAAATGCATATTTTGAAGAGGTAAGCCAGCTTTGGCAAACAGAATTAATGCACGAAAAGGTTGATCCAAAAGTGAAAAATATGAAGCGAATTTCATTCATGTGTAGAGAAAGTAAAGGTTTCTTTTAAAATTCCTTCGTGTTCTGCAACAGAGTTCGCGTTATACAAGTATGTGGCCGGAACACAAATGGGGAAGCTGGGAATAAACTGACTGACAAACTTTGCAGCTGTCCAGCGGCTTATAGAATGGTGAGACCAGAACCTTATATCGTGGTCCCGAAAACAAAAAGGTGCTGTTGTGCAAAAAGTAGAGACTAGACAGAAAAGATATTGGCAGCAATCTACAGGTTGCTACTAACCTACATATCCGCAATATAAGTTATATCAGCAATATTCTTAAATTCATCAAAGTGTTCGGCGTATGTGAGGCACAAAAGACCTAAGGTCGCAGTGCAAACTTTAATTTATACTATTACTATTTCTACTCTTCGAACAAAATATAGCTTAACTCTCTATAGTCATTTCCGAATCGCTGTGTTAATAGTTAGGTCTACTGTAGAAATGAATTTGCTTACGAACAAGAACCGTCATCTCAATAGTATATCCCAAACATTTTGGATTTTAAACCACCCTGTATAAGCCTAGAAAAATATGCAATATAATTAAATTGAGGTAATCGTCTCTGCAGATTCCTACTAAGCAATTGAAGTGACTCAGTTTTGTCTGCTCCGTGAATTCAGAAGACGCAGAGGCAAATAAAAAACAATTTAATGGAATTAATTACTCAAATCAGATTAAAAAGATTTACTAACGCTCGAAATGAGGACATCGGCACTTAGACCAAAATTGTAAAACAAATAGTTGTTTTAAAACAGTTTTAATATATTTTAATAATGATTATTGGTTAAGTGTATTCATAGTTATGTACTCCCCAGGTATTTCATATTTTTATTATATCCTCACAGTGCATGAGACCTTCCGCTTTACACTTGTGAGATTTATAAATACAGCCTATTTTTGAATTATACTAATTATTCGATTTGTAGTAAACTATGCAATCATAAACACGCAACTATCTGAGCACGCTCTAACAAATAAAGGCGCTTTTAAGATTCATGTTACAACATATCCGATTGCTTAATCAAAAATCATCCAACTGTAGCCTAATATAATTTCGTTCGCAAGATAAACGGTCAGGAACTCAGTCAATAGTTTACTCACTTAAAATTTGTTTACGAATATTTAATTGATTTGTTTTTTTATTTAAGAGTCGAACTTGACTATCATGAAAGATAACATATATACTACTTGAAACTACTTCCTACTTGAAAATGTTAACAAGAAATAGCAAAAAAATTACCGTAATTGGTTGGCTTCATCAGTAATTTGGATGCAACGTAAGATGCTGATCTCTTTAGTTTTTGTTTATTTATATGCTACTGTTATCGATATATGCAAGCTTCAATCAAGATTCGACACAATTCAACCACCACTTAATACATAAAAGGAGCCATTCAGACTGAAGAGACTCAGGGCACACCTAGTGTGACAGCTTTAAAAGTGGAGATTTAATGAAAAAGATTTTAAAAATTTTCGAGGATATTTCCAATGGCTCTAAAAAAATAAGTTCCTCTAGTGCTACAGTAACTGCGGCCTCCAGCCAAAACGAAACCTAAAAAAAGTGCTGCAGATGATTTTGTCCGTGCAATGACCTATAGTCGAAAAATAATCAAAATTCAGTACAGTGATCTATAAACGAAAAAAAAAAATTACAAAATTGAGAAAATTGCGACGTTTAAAAAAAAGTTTAATTTTACCAAAATGTTGGTCATTTTAAGCCAACGTGGTAGGTATGGAGAACTATATGAGTACATGCAATAAATGTTTATAGTAGCCGGATTATTTGTCTACGCGTAATCACTCAAGCAAATTTTTAAAATCTAGTTTTAAGAAACATACGTTCAAAGATAAACTGACGGAGCTGATTAAATTGAGCGGCTAAACCTTAAAAAGCTGTAACTCCAAAACTATTTAAGATATCGATTAAGTATGTTATTGTACTCTCGCAACATGTTGCAAAAAAGATTATAATACTTTTGTTCACATAAAACTAAACGAGAAAGATATTGAGTTATATACAGTATGATGAGACGATTGAATTCCGCGTGACTATCAGTCTGTCTATCCGTGCACGCGATAGCTTGCGTAAAAATTTAGATGTTTTAATTATCAAAAAGGGCTTGGTTGAGATACAAAACTGTAATTTGGTGCAACGGATCACACTAGCACAAGACAAGTATACACTTTATATCACATATGAGTATATCTCATTTGGGCTAATTAAGTTGATCTTAATACAAATAATTCGAACCTGCAAAATATAGTAATGAAACTATGACTCATAACATACATAAGTTAATAAGATACCAAAAATTATCCATTCTATTTCTTTGAATAATGTATGTTGAATTGTTTAGCAACAATTCTTCATATAAAGTTTTGCAATACCTGAAAGTTTTTCCCCGCTATAGATCTTTCAAATTGCGAAAGCATAAAATGTTTGGTTACATCAGAACTTAGCTTAATTATTTGTTTTTAAAGGTAAAGCAGACCGAAATATGAAAAAAAAAATGTTTTTAATTTTACACTACTTTATTGAGTCAACATTTTCTTTTTATACTCTTGCAACAAACTACAGAGTATAATAGTTTTGTTCAACTAACGGTTGTGTGTATCACCGAAACTAATCGAGTTAGATATGGGATTATATATGTATATATAAATAATCGAAATGATCAAAATGAAGCGGCGAGTTGAAATCTAGGTATCTTTGCGTCCTTACATGTTTTCCATCCTTTTAGTGTAGGCAATTTCTAATGGAATGAAATTTAAAAAGTAATTCACCGAATAATTCCGTGGTAACTGTTGCTATCACTCAAGATCAATAAAAGTCAGCAATAACAATAAATTGGAGCTACTGGCTACTTAACCGATTTTTAAGTTCAGATCAACTGTGTTAAGTGGCATTACGCTCCGGCAAATTTTAATAAATAATTTCAATAAATAATACATGAGGAGAAATTTCGTATTTCTGCTAGAATTTATAATAAACTAGTTAATAAATAAATCAAAATAAATAAACAAAATTTAATAATTTTTTTTTTAAATTTGTACTACTTTGCATAATTAGATGACACAACATGCTTTCAAATGCAAATTCAGGTTAAATAATTTACATAATATACACAAGCCTCTTAAGAATCACTCAAAAAACACAAACTTAAGGAAATAAACAAGTTCATATTCTAGAAATAAAAACAGAAAAATCAATAAAAAGTAAATGTATAAAAATTGTCTAATCAGCTTGCCTAATAAGCATAAAGACTTGTCTAAGCATCTCTCAGTTAGCAGTTAATTCGTAACACGAAAACGTTTATATGGCTCTATTAAAATGAGAAACAAACAATAAAAAGAATACAAAAATCACTTCATTTTAGCAAAATGCTTTTCTAATTTTTATTTTCACACGTACGCCAATAGACAGGTCCATTTAACGACACACCTTTTTCAATTTTGAAATAAGTTAAATTTACGATTACACACAATTATTTCATACAAAACTCATTAGACGACTTAACATCTATTGCTTTTCAACGTATTTTTCTCTCAAGTAGTTGAAGACGTCTTTGTTTTCGGGGTTGGTAACTTCGAAGTAAACCTTTTGTTTGTCTTCCAAGCTGGCGGCAGTCAAACCACCTTCAGCCTTAACCTTCAAAGCGGCAATTTCATCTTTGTACTTGATATCGGTCTCAGCGAGCAAACCGTCAAAGAATTTGATGGCACCGTTCAATGAGTTCTCGATCTGTGGCAAGGTTTGGTTCTTCAAGTATTCCTGGAAACTGGCACGATGGTCTTGGTTGAATTTCAGGTAACTTTCCACCTTTTTAGCGGCATCAGCTTCCTTTGCGATAGCATTCAAGCGTTCGATGGACTTCTCAATATCAGTCTTGAATTCACCGGACTCAGATTTAGGCAACAAAGCCGTGTAGAATTCGATCGATTGTTGGATTTCACCATCGACATTCAATTCCTGCAATTTCTTGTTCAAATACTGATTGAATTCTTCAGGGTATGTGCCAGTATGGCCATCCAAAATAGTGGTCTTCGCTTTGCTGTCGGTCTCCTTGAGCGCAGCCTCGGTCTGGGCGATCAGTTTCTCGAGATTGGCTTTGTGTGCCTCATCGACTCCGACAAGGATCTTGTTGTATCCGTCGAGATTTACGCGCAGATCAGCGTCGATCGCTTCGGCAATGCTAGCAGCGAAAGACAACTAATTGAAAACGAGAAAAGTGCAAAGTATCCATGTTTAATTGCTTGTTTCACTATACTTTGCAATCTTTAGCAAATTTACTCACCTGTGCACACGCAGCAACGCAGAGAAGTGCAGCAAGGAAGAATTTCGGCATTGTATTTTATTATTATTAATTACGTCCACACGCTTGACCAGCTCAATTGAGACTCACAATCGAATGCGCAGCCGCCGCCTCTATTTATACCCATAACGGTGTGGTACCGGCGGCTATAAACTTTATTTTTGTATCTATGTAATTTCGCTACTGAGAAATCGTAAAAATAAGAAAACAAACTGTTTATTCTGCCGAACTCTTTATATTTGGAGATCGGCACGGCATTCAACGCTCTTACTTTATTTTTGCGGTTTGTTTGTTCTCCATTTTATTTTTTTATTGTTTATTTTTTTTATTTTGCATATTCATGGCACTATAACTTCTGAAGTTGTGTGAATGTTATTGTTGGGTTGATCATCGTTTTTTTTACTACATGTGTAAGCGCATTAAGATTTGTTTTGCTATAAAAAGTCCGAATTGTAA